ACCAGTGAATGTGTCTGGTGGTCTGAAGTTCCCACGTATTTCTCACTCCACCAATTCAGTTGTCATCAAAATTGAAAGAGGTAAGTTATCTGTTAAATGGATCTCTTCCTTCTTGTATCATTGTTTACAGTAATAACTAATAACAGACGCAGTTCGAAACTGCCGAAGCCATTTGAACAAAACATGGGTGTGTTTGTTCTTCATTAGCCTATTGGACAAAGAGAAGCTGCTTTCGTCATGTTCAATTAGCGTTTGTGCAAGACAAAGCAAAGCTCATCGCACAAGAAAAATATTTCTTACGTTCCTCGTATGCGTGAATAACTAACTTCCAACGTTTAGTAAAGCACAAGGCGACGCTAGTCCCACAACGTCTAGAGTCTCCCAACGTTTTCTATAGCACAAGGCGACGCTAGTCCTACAACGTCTAGCCCTCCAACGTTTTCTATAGCACAAGGCGGCGCTAGTCCCACAACGTCTAGCTGTCCAACGTTTGGTATAGCACAAGGCGACGCTAGTCCCACAACGATCCCTTGTGATGAGAGAACCACGGTCAAGCATGTCCTGCTTGACTGTGTTGAATTCTCCATCATAAGGGATAAATATTTCAATATTAAAACAGTAAAGGACCTTTTAATTAAATTTAATAATCATTTAATCATTGATTTTTTAAAAGAGATAGATTTGTTAAATGAATTTTGATATATGTTTGGTAAATAGAGAAAGTTTTATAATTGGTAGTTCAGATTATCAACTTAGATTGTTCGTGGCTGTATCCTTAAAGGGTGTTGAAGTAGCGTAAAATTCTTGTCCTACTGAGAGGGTACGTAAGTCCCAAAAACTTTCAAAGTCAATTTTGCTCAACCATACTTTTTACTCGTAGTATGTTTGCTATTTTAAATTATTCCAACTAAGGTCCATGCAGGTAGCAAAGGCACTGTAAGACCCCATGGACCCTAGTATGGTGACCTACCTTCAGTTGTTGGCGATCTATAGCCTGTGTTTTATATTGTACTGTCTTCTTCAATTAAAATGCTTTAGAATGATATTCTAGTTTTATATTCATATCTGTAATACTCTAGGATTTTTACTGTCCATCGTTGACAGGTTTAACTCTTCACAATTTTTCATTTTTATATTGTATCAATTGTTTTCGTCACGACATGGCTGAAATATTGCCGATGTGACGATAAATATTAACTCACTCACTCACTAGTCCCACAACGTCTAGTCTCCCAACGTTTGGTATAGCACAAGGCGACGCTAGTCCCACAACGTCTAGCCCTCCAACGTTTTGTATAGCACAAGGCGACGCTAGTCCTACAACGTCTAGCCCTCCAACGTTTTGTATAGCACAAGGCGACGCTAGTCCCACAATGTTTAGAGTCTCGCAACGTTTTGTATAGCACAAGACGACGCTAGTCCCACAACGTCTAGCTAGTCCCACAACGCGTTGTACAGCACAAGGTGAGGCTAGTCCCACAACGTCTAGTCCTCCAAAGTTTTGTATAGCTCAAGACGACGCTAGTCCCACAACGTCTAGTCTTGCAACGTTTTGTATAGCACAAGGCGACGCTAGTCCCACGACATCTAGTCTCCCAACGTTTTGTATAGCACAAGGGGACGCTAGTCCCACAACGTCTAGCTAGTCCCACAACGTTTCGTACAGCACAAGGCGACGCTAGTCCCACAACGTCTAGCCTTCCAACGCTTTGTATAGCACACGGCGACGCTAGTCTCACAACGTTTAGAGTCTCCCAACGTTTTGTATCGCACAAGGCGACGCAATTCCCACAACATCTAGCCGTCCAAAGTTTTGTATAGTACAAGGCGACGCTAGTCCCACACCGTCCAGTCCTCCAACGTTTTGTACATCACAAGGCGACGCTAGTCCCACAAAGTCTAGTCTCCCAACGTTTTGTATAGCACAAGGCGACGCTAGTCCCACAATACCTTTTCCCCAAGTTACGGAAAATACCACTTTCTGGTTAGAATTTCTAACTTGGACAGTGGACATCCTTACTGGCAAAAATGGTTAAGTTCCTGTAACGGAGAATACGTTATTTGAATCTACTTGAGAATGAACTTAAGAGAGACCTGCATGTAATTTTCTAATGAGCTACTAGCACTTTGAACCGCAAAATATACACATGGCAAAATGTATTTCAACACCCCATGTTTTCATAATATCACTAGTAGTAAAGAAACTTATCTAAACCTCAGTCTTACTAAATATGGATAAGATTACCCTCAAGATATATTGAACTGGCAAATCTAAACACCAAAAAGAACGAAAAACTGTGGTTTATTCAGAGAAGCAAACATGGTAGAAACAATTACTCATTGTGTAGTGCTGATGGCACTATGGTTGTGTGACGATAACAAGGTGGATTTTCAAGCTTCTGACATACAATCCTCAAGACATCATGCAAGTATCAATAGCCGAACACAATATACACATACATACAGACAGACAGACAGACAGACATACAGACAGACAGACAGACATACAGACATACATACATACAATCCTCAAGACATCACGCAAGTATCAATAGCCGAACACAATATACACATACATACATACATACATACATACAGACAGACAGACAGACAGACAGACAGACAGACAGACAATCCTCAAGACATCACGCAAGTATCAATAGCCGAACACAATATACACATACATACATACATACATACATACAGACAGACAGACAGACAGACAGACAGACAGACAGACAGACAATCCTCAAGACATCACGCAAGTATCAATAGCCGCACACAATATACATACAGACATACAGACATACAGACATACAGACAGACAGACATACATACATGCATACATACATACATACATACATACATACATACATACATACATACAGACGGACAGACAGACAGACAGACATACAGACATATAATCCTAAAGAAATCAGGAAAAGTATCAATAGCCGAACACAATATACATACATACAGACAGACAGACAGACAGACAGACAGACATACAGACATACAGACATACAATCCTCAAGACATCAGGAAAAGTATCAATAGCCGAACACAATATACATACAGACATACAGACAGACAGACAGACATTTGTATAGCGCCAATATCCAGTTCATCTGCTCAAAGGCGCTTTGTTTTTTCCCTCGATCACTGGATGTCAATCTCAACGGCACGTCGTATTATCAATCTCAACTTCCTGGGGATCATACAACTCTTGCAGCTACTAGGCGCACCGAGTGAGTGTGGCTTTCCCATCCTTACGAGGTACCCATTCACAGCTGGGTGGACTGGGACACATAGTCACAGTACTTTGTCCAAGTTTACTGCACGTTGCTGTACCCGCAACTAGGTGTTTGCACGTATTCATGTGGCCACCATCTGGTTATCTACCAACGGATTCGTGGGTTATTTTAAGTGCACAGGGTTGTGTACTGTACACTAGGAGTTGTGACAACACTAAAAGAGTTTGCAAACAAAGTTGACTCCAAGGTCTTTACACCCGGTCACAGGAGGGCTCGATCCCGTCACCTCAAGCTCGCTGGATCACTAGCCTGGCGCTTTAGCCAGTTCGCCGACCAATGACTGTGTCAGACGTTGAATACATCAAGCTTTTGTACAAGATGATCTCATATTCCCATAATGTCCAAATAATGCTCTGTGGGATTGGGATCTGGACTCATTGCGGGCCAAGTTACATTGGCTAAGGCCTCTTGACGTAAGAAATCAAAAACGGCATTGACGTCTATGAAAACTGGCATTAATGTTTCGTTGTCTATTCAGAATTCATCTCATTGACTCAAGGTCAGGTTCACAGCCAGTCACCACCAATTAACCCTGCCAAACGGTACTTGTTCCAATATTTTCCATTCTGCATACGATGTGGTTCTTCGGCACCAAACTCGAACTCGACCATCAGTCATGAAGAAAACACATCGACTTTCGTCCGACCAGTAGACCCTTCCCCATGACGTCAAAATCCAGAGACGTCGAATTTTTACATTTTAAGTATGTTTAGGCTTAATCTCCTTTCTGAAGTACCTTACTGAACTCAAGCACGACGTTAAACCAAATTTCACCTCACCTCATCTCACTGAAAAGGTGTAATCCCAAATATAACATAAGTTACATTTGACCACTTTCTAAATGATGGTGATCTACCTTCGGTTGTTGGCGATCTATAGCCTGTTTTTATCTTGTATTGTCCTAATAGTGCTATTAGTTTTAACTTTCTACACTAGTTTTAATTGTAATTGTGATATTCTAGTTGTTTTACTGTCCTTTGATGACAGGTTTTTATTATGTACACCTTTTTCCATTTCAATGTCAAATATGTTCTCGTCACGATATGGCTGAAATATTGCCGATGTGACGTTAAATATTAACTCACTCCCTCACTCACTTTCTAAATTGCATTGTGTATTTCTTATGGCATTATGCAATAGAGTGGAAGTACAAATATTTCTGTTATGTACAGTACACAAATAACTGTATGATATTGAAAAATGGTTTATATCATTCACGTAAACGCTAGTTTCCGGTCACATGACATCTAATCACATGTACACCTATTGAAACGCAGAAATGGATAAGCTTCAGTACAGAGCACTCATAAAGTTTTCGGTCCTCGAGGGCCACATTGAACGGCGATTGACAGCAGTACGGGCAGTACGAGTACTGAGTCCCATGGGATACGAGTGTATATAAGAATGCATCAGTGATAGATTTGTTTTGTCGAAAAACCCAGTTTATCGCGTTTTATTCTCACACTCGTGACTGTCACTTTGGTGGTATGAGTGGGTGTAAAGGAATGATTGTTAATATGCTTTGGAGTTTTTAGTTGTTTTATAACATAAGCTTTACCCAATGTAATTAAATCACACGTCACATTTCTATTTTCAGATTTTGTCCAAAATATGGCTGTTATTAGATGTTGCCGACGGCAGTTCGATCTCAATCTCATAACAGTCGAGCCAGTTTTGTTTCTTTATATGACCGGATACTTTCTGACAAACCCAACCTTCCAGGCCTTTGTGTATAACAAAGTGTGCATTGACAAATACAACGAGACTTTCTGCGACAGCCTGCGCAACAAGACATTCCAAGAGGACCACAAAACAGAAGAGGATTATGTCCAGTCTGAGACGTCCTACTGGATCTTAAAGAAAAACATTGTAGAACGTGTTCCGGCATGTTTGATTGTACTGTTTGTCCTCGGATCCTGGGGTGACAAAGTGGATCGGAAACTACCCGTGATTATACCCAGTGTGGGAGCAACGTTGTCTTATATTGTGTATATGATTCTTTCCATTTACCCTTCAAGTAAAGTGGAGTATGTGATGATTGCTGCTGTAGTAAATGGTCTGTCTGGGAGTTTCACGGCCCTGCTAATGGCATCGTACAGCTACGTGACGCACATTGCTGATCCCACCAATAAGACGGCGCGAATAGGAATCGTGGAGGCTGTTATCTTCTTAGCTGGAACAGTTGGAGTCTTCATATCTGGAGTGATGTTGGACAATACAAGCTTCACATTCGTCTTCGCGTTCATGAGTGGATGTTCCTTCTTAGGACTTGTATACGCTGTCGTACGTCTCGAGAACCTAACGGCCAGAACAACCAGACCCGAGAGTGAGAGTGTCTGCACATACTGGTTTCTGGGATCTGTCAAGGAGTCTGCTCGTTGTGTGATGAAGAATAGGCAAGAGAAGAGAACTCTCTTCCTCTTCTCACTGCTCATTATCTTCAACATGTATGTGATGGGAACAGTGTGTGAGTACAAATCAACGTTTATTTACAAACAAGGCAATTATATTTTTTCAACAGGCTGTGCACATACAAAGCCTATGCTTCACACAAGATCTCGAAGTTTGGTTGTTGGTTGTGTTGTTGTTTAACGCCGTACTCACCAATATTCCAACTATATGGCGGCGGTCTGTAAACAGTCGAGTCTGGACCAGAAAATCGAGTGATTAACATATAATTAGCATCGATCTATACGATATACGATAACATGTGTCAACCAAGTCAGTGAGCCTGACCAACGGATCCCGTCAGTAGCCTCTTACGACAAGACCCGGATCTTCAGGGATCAGGTCTCAAAAGCTATGTGTCGCATGTGCTGCGAAGACCATTGGGGTATACATTTCATAATTGCAGATGTGTGCACTACAATTTTCTGAACTTATTTAAATGACGACAGTATTACAATTGCTCTTTCTTGACATTGCAAGAAGTAGACTTTCAGAACATATATGGATGCTAGTTACTGGCATGCATGATGCAGGGATATCTTGTCGCAACATGGGTGCAAGCATGACCATTGACGGTTACTAGTTGACACGGGTCATTCTCACTTACCCACCACCCTAAAGTTATGATAAGGGATTAAAGAGGATTAGTGTACACGGGTTAGTGATTACACTGCTCACCGTGAAATTTGGTCCGGGTGGGTGACACTAATTAGTCTCTAATTGTGCAATCTTAAACAGCAGTTTTTGGCTGGCAACATGAATGTGTATGCATATTGTGACGCAGTTTCTCATTTAACTGGGTATTGAATTGTAAGATTACACGTACATTTCCACAAAATGTTCATTTGTTTTCTTTTGGTGTTAATCAGAGTAAAATATGTAACAGTTACCATTCCACTTCGCGGAATTTGGTTTCAAAGCATATGCAACATCTAGTGTTTTGGGAATTATCACACATATATATATTTAAATTTTCATGAGTATAATTAACCGTTTACTATGCTTCAGGTGAAGGGGACGTCCTCCTCCTGTACACAAGGCGAGCTCCACTCAGCTGGTCACAGACAACGTTGGGTTACTATCAGGGTCTGGAGAACTTACTTCGTAGTTTAATGCTGATCACAGTTCTGCCTCTGTGTAGGAAGTTGAGGAACACCACTGTAGCACTCTGGGGCTTCACGTCCAAAATCATCGGTCTGGTGGTATTGGGACTCAGCAAACAGACATGGCAAGTCTTTCTAGGTAACGTGCAACTGTTTTAAATGTGCATATGCTATTCGGCCCTCACTCACAAAATTATTATTTGAAAATACAAAACAGATGGTGGAGTGTCATTTAAGATCAAATGTATCTGCGAAATATTGATGTGTGAAAGTGGTAACATCCATCACTTCATTATATTTCAGTGGCAGTGATTGCCATGTTCCAAGGCTTTCAAGCAGCTGTTGTTCGGTCACTCATGTCCAATATGGTCGACCAGGCTGAACAGGGTAAGGCTCAGGGTAAAGTCGCACGTTGTAAGAATTGAAACAGACAATGGAGTACATATGAAACGCTGTCAAAATAAAACTTCAATCTCTGTTTTAAACGTACACGGATTCTACTTGGTGTACAGGGCAAAGAAAGTCCAAAAGTGTTTAAAGGAGAAACTGAAAAGGAGTTAAGACACCAGGTGTCTAGAGTAAAGCTTTGATTACACCTGTTAGGATTAACATGTCCTGTATGTACAGCCAGGTGAAGCAAGGTAAGTCGCGTTTTGATGTCATTAATCACATGAAACGTGGTATCTGCTGCAGTTTGGTTGGTAGGTGTTAGAGTGAAGGTCAGGACAAAACGAAATCTGAATCAGGGTAATCGTTTCTGTATACTTTAGACTAGGGCTGTAACGATGCGTCGAACTATCGGTGCATTGCAATTGTTGAGTCTCCGATAGCAATTAATCGATGGTAGAAACGAAACACTATCGATGCATCGATACACCACACAAAATGACTGTATTACCCAAATTTACTAACGTCAGGAAATACTCGTTTCATCAGGCGGCCATATGAACAACGTTTGAAATCTACGTATCATCTGGCCGTCAGATTTACACACGTTTAAAGGGGTGTTAAAATAAACGAACATTCAACTCTGCATTTACATGTATTTCACAGGTGTGTAAATCTGGCAATTGTTTTCATGTGTTTCCTAACATGTGTAACATATGTAAATGCTGTGATTGTAGGACATGCATTTCAATACCCTTGAAATCTCGTATGACTAGGGTTAGGTTTGTCATATATTTAGTACACGCGTAAATGGTTGGTAATGGGTATAGTCCGTTTGGCTCAAAAGCGGACCGATGAATTGCAATCTAACTCGAAAACTAATAAACATAACATTCTCAGTGAAACGCTGATCATAATCAAAACATCATACCAACTCTGTGAGGTTTTTTTGCAGAATTTTTGTCCTAAAAATAATAATGTTGTTTAAGAAACTATCATTAAAATATTGACACAGTTCACTGTTTGTTACGAGGGAGGAGTGCAGAGAAAGGGACAGCCAGGTGTTCGAGAAGCACGTTCACAGACAAAGTTATTTATTCATTAACCTGTGCTGTGCCGTCTCCATCCGTTCTCGAACACCTGACTGTCCCTTTCTCTGCACTCCTCCCCTCGTAACAAATAGTGAACTGTGTCAATATCATGCTCGATTTCGCTGTGTTCATCATCTGTATACAGGGCGCTTGTTTGGACTCGTGGCTGCCATGGATAGTGTTGCTGTCATGGTAGCATCCCTGATCTTCAACCAACTCTACCCAGTAACCCTTGATTTCTTCCCTGGCTTCAGCTTTTTGGTGGCTGCTGGTCTGTCTGTCGTTGCTGCAGCCATTATGTTGTGAGTGGTCACTGTAGAGCCTAGGAAGAATATCGACAAAAATTCCATAAGATAATGTTATATATTGTGCAATGTGTATTTCCACGATGGTATATATATGTTGCGATATTCATGCTAGATCTATATAACTGAATTGCAGGTGGCTTCATTTTGATCTGAAAGGACTGGTACTGGGTGACTCTACCATTACAAAAAACGTTAAAGGAGACACAAATGACATTAGCAAAGGTACGTCCTGTGTAGTTTGTAGAAAATCCACAAATGTATGTGATTTTACGTCCGGTCAAAAACGTTTGTGCTGTAGCATCTCAGTGTGTCACTCACTCTTCTCACGCGTAAATCGTATCGGAAACTGCAACTGTCAGATCCCATTTCAGACCTTTTAGAACCTGATGACGATACGATCAAACCCAAAAACGACACAAAATGCATATGTATTTATGTTGTCTGTGGGTTTGATCAAATGATCCGTACTGGATCCGTACTGTTTGAACTCGATGGAGACACTCAGAATGGAGTTCAAACGTTTTATCCATTATTGATTTAGAAGTTCAAATATGGTGTTTAATCAGGACACATAGTGACAAGTGTCGTTTGAAATAGTATTTTTCAATACGTCTTATAACAAGTTTGTCTAGTATATAGGCCATATCGATGGACAAATAATAGTGCTACAGACTAAATAACAATCACATATTTTGAAGATTTTCCGTGTATGTTGATGATACTTTCACTCAAGAAATATACATCATGAACAAATCGTCAGCTAATAATGTCAGCAGTAAGATGTGCTTTTATACATGACTACAGCTAAGAAAGAAGAAAACATCGATTTAAAATGCATCCTTGACGAACGAAAACGAGCTAACACGAACGTGTTGTCATCACGAGTGAGTGAGTGAGTGAGTTGTGTTTTCCGCCTCACTCAGCAATATTTCAGATATATGGCGGAGTTGTCATCACGATTTGACAGAGACAAACCAAAGGTTTTTCAAAAATCAATGAAAGTCAGTTATGTCTTCCGTTTGGTCAACATAAATGTTTTCATTTTAGTAGTTAGAACAAAAACAAGCTTCACGGTCAAATATATATGGGAAAATGAAAACTGTGTGAATTTTTCTTTTGTTTCAGAGGACAACCAAGTGGAGACTGTGACGACTCACATTTAACAAAATCCCTAGTCACGGCACGCGTAGATATTGATACTTCATAACCCAAGTAGTTCAGACGGGTTATAACGATGTGTTTATACACAATACTCCACATCTTGCTCCAGTATCAACACAAAGGGTAAACTACAGAAAACCCATTTATATATCTTTGTTACTCTCTTCATTTTTGTATGTTCATTCAGCATAAGTAGGTGGCGCATGCCTGTATAATTGTTTGTGAGTATAGTTCTTGAACTGTTTGAGAGGCATTCTAGAAGCTGTACATAATAGAGATTGCCAGTCTTTGTGGATGATCAACTTCTTTATTGTATAATAGCGACGTTTCGGTAGAAATACTCATGCTTGAAAACGGTGTAAGTATCTATACCGAGAGGTCGCTATTATACACTAAATAAGTTGATCATTCATAAAGACTTGTCATTTCTAGTATGCTTTTTTAGTTCTGTACAACGTGAATGGGAACGGTAAACGTGGAGTGACTGTAGTTTGATGTGGCAATTGAATTTAGTGTCACAACAATTATTATTATCACTGGTGTATCAGCAATAATGTGGAAAAGTTTGAATCTATGTGTCCATCTGAAATATAAATATACTTCAATAATTATAGTATGAATGATATTTATTTGGACCCTTTCCTACTGGTACATTCCGTACACCAACTGCGTCCAAATCATATTTCTCAACTTCTTTATCAACATATTGTTTATAAAACAAATAATCAAATTATATCAATTGTATATTTTATATTCAAAAGACTTACATTGTTATGCTTTAAAATGCTAAAATTCAAAGGATATATATGTACAAATACAAGTGCAACTTAAGAACAGCATTTTTAATTAATTGTAATGTCAGCAAATCAGTGTTAATGTTATAGGTTTCGATAAATTACTGACACTTGACACAGATACATCATATCTTTATCTTAAAGTATATCATTATTACATTATATTATATAACTGCTTAACTATCCACTGTGATGTTACTATTGTGCCACAAAGATATACACTCTCATTTGATCCTTATTTGACCGTATTTCACAAATAAATAACACGACTCTCCACACTGAATTACATATTGTTTCAGATGATATAAATGTTCAAACCATTATCTGTTCTGTTTTATAACGGGCTCGTACGCAGGTTGACTTTCGTAATGACTACTGGAAATCTTAAACCGTGAAATTCGATGATATATTTTGTTACAGGGACATTTAATGTGTGTGAGCTTAATGAGGCGAGCTGTTTTTCATATTCCATCCACATGCATTTTGTTAATTTCCAAGTTGATCTCTGAATCCAAGACTCTACTTGTTTTCCTTTGATTCCTTTATCTTTTGTATGTCTGCACATAACATGAATATGTATGGAGAAAGTGGGTATCCTTGACGGCTGCCGCTAGTAAATTACAAAACAAGCACCTGCGAAACAGTTCACCAATACATAATATAGGATGAACCATTTCGGAATACCTGGTTCAGGTTAAATTGTGTATTGGGTGACATCACTTGCTTTTATCTTGATATCACTATTGTCATACGACACGGTTTTCAACAGATGGAACATATCTTCATTACAGTTACTTTAAGAGCATAGATGGAACGGTTATTGGCACTTATTGCATACTGTTTGTCTCCTATACACTCACAATTTCCGGTCCTGGTCTGGGATTACCTCCCAATGTAGGGACTCACCAATGTCATTACCAATAATACCTGTACACTAATGTATTGGGGCGGTAGGGTAGCCTAGTGGTTAAGCGTTCGCTCGTCACGCCGAAGGCCGGGGTTCGATTCCTCACATGGGTACAATTTGTCCCCCGCCTTGATATTGCTGGAATATTGCAACAAGCGTCGTAAAACTCAAAATCACTGAATAATGTATTCAAAAATAATTTGGAAACTGTTGGAAAACTTCAGCAGGCTAAGAACATCAAAATATGTTTGAATTAAAACAGACGCTTATTCAAATTGAATAAAAACCTTTATCAAAATTGTATCAGTTAACACAGTAAATAATATCACTGTGTTTGAAATGGGTGTCTCCTGCTACACCAAGCATCTACACAACTGCTGGCCTTGTTGAGGAAAACGGTTCCAGTTTTAAGCAGTGGTCTGCTATTTTCGACATCGTTGGATATCGACTGACATCAATATTGTATCTGAAATTAAACAGAAATTACAAACTGAAAGATCATGTTTGTTTCACACAACAACGTTTACAATACACCGCTACAGAAACAGTGCTACGTTCGCTGTTGCAAGAAACTATCCATCTTTTAATCGGTCGCATTTTCCTTTCCCATTGCTCCCTCTTGGGAGACCTGCACGACCATGTGACATATGCAGTTTGCTCATTGACTGTATGCTGAGGCGTTGTTCCACAAATGGGTGAAGATATAATGGAGTGGATGTAGCGATTCTTATATCACCTAATGTGGAGGGAGCCGATTTTAGCAATATTCCAGCAATATCACAGCGAGGTACACCAGAAATGGGCTTCACACAATGTACCCCTATGGCAAATCAAGGCCGCGTCTTTGGCGTGGTTAGAGCGTCCGCCCGGAGAGCGGAAGGTCGCGGGTTCGATCCCCGACCGCGTCATACCAAAAGACGTTAAAATATGGTACTTGTTGGTCCCTGCCTGGCGCTCGGCATTAATGGGTACAACAAGGACTGGTCGACTCGGAGTCAGTATAATGTGTCTGAGTGGGGTATTCATGCTTCACTGCGGCATGGTATCTCAGTGGGCTAGCACTATCAAACCAGCTTCAGTCTGGGCTAGTACAAGCAGCCGCACATACACATACACACGCATGCACGTCGTCATATGAGCGAAATATTCTCAAGCACGACGTTAAACCCAATTTCACCTCACCTCACCTCTTTGGCGTGACGTACGAAGGCTTTAACAACAAGGGTGTCCCACTGCCCCTGCACGTCTTCCAAACAATGGTAAACTCATCGTTCATATTCTCACCTATTGACGGCGTTGTTATATTGGGGCACCATGCACAGATCCGCCACGGTGACGTCATCAGCAACACAGCATTTCCCATGCGTTTCTTTCAGCATCACTTCAATGGCTGGAAGTCAGCAATTTCATAAAATGAAACGGCAATGGTAGTAGTAAAACAATACCCATATCTAAATAAGGTATGGGTTGATGAGCAACAGTTTGAGTATGATAAGAATCAATGGCAACAGCATGAAAACTTCCAGCATGAATTGACCCAAACTGCGACTCCTGGATATGTTTGGGTGATGGAATTGCTCGCATATTGAATTTCATTTTAGGACACTGCCCTCTTAATATGTTTTAGCTATGTGTATAATTGAAAGCTCAAAACTTGTTGCACTGAAAAGACGTCTGGTTACCAATCAGTGAACATGTCTAATAGTAATATAGTAAATATGGTGAAGTCGCAGAGTGAGGCAGCTTGACTCGAAGGCCAGAGAGTTTCGAGGACTTCCGTCCTGCCCAGCACAGAATCACATGTTGCACCAGTGGACCTTAAATAGTCCATAGGCTTCGTTCAAATGTGCTTCTGTTCACATTAAATGGACAGTTGAGTTGGATGAGAAGGTAATGTGGCTGTTAAGCGCCTTACATGAGTCTTTGGTTGAATACTTCCCAGCTTGCAGAGAATGACTGAGTTCGTGAATTTAAGGAGTGAGAGACAATTTAACATTGCGTCGGTATGGAGTTTTTTTTCATCTATATAGTCATGAGATTAAGAGTATACATACAGCGAAGTTCATCATAAATACCATTTGCTCAGAATGAAAATCGAATTCACCAATCAAAAAGGAGCATTGTGAACTTTACAGTGTGGATTTGGCTAATGGTAAATACCCACATTTGAATTCTTACTATGTATATCAATTTGGGATAATCCCCAAGGGACATTTAGGGAGCTTTGTTGGAACTAATCATTTCGTCACTATAATGAAGTCATGGCTGAAATTGAAGAGAAAAATTACATGTGACAACGTTCATTTTAGCTCTCTGTTGTTCCGAAGGTTCGTCCATACCAGCAAACCCTCTATTAATCCAAAATTCGGCCCATTCCTTAAATTTCTCTGCCCCTCCAACTCTGGACACCAAGGTGTCATTGCTGCCCTGGTATGGCTGGATAGATGATACAACTGTCTCCGCCAGTGCCCGGGTCTAAAGAACACAGATCAGACAGCCAATATATACACATTGACAGCACAGATCAGACAGCCAATATATACCTTGACAACACAGATCAGACACCCAGTATATACCTTAACAACACAGATCAGACAGCCAATATATACCTTAACAACACAGATCAGACACCCAGTATATACCGTAACAACACAGATCAGACAGCCAATATATACCTTGACAACACTCAGACAGCCAATATATACCTTAACAACACAGATCAGACAGCCAGTATATACCTTAACAACACAGATCAGACAGCCAATATATACCTCAACAACACATTGTTTCTGAATTATACACTTTGAGAATATAGACAACTCAATTAAAAGTTAATTATACACCTATGAAACGCAGAACATTCAGGGACGTTGGTGGTACACGAAGAGCATTCCAAACATTCGTTCATGGGATTTTTACACCAAGGGCATTGAGAACATTGATTAATGGGTTATTATACATAAGAAAATATAGAACATTTATTCATGGGAATTATACATCAAGATAACACAGAACATTCTCCTATGTAAATCAATCTCCAGAATACACACACACTTCCATATTGTGGATTCATTCATATAGATTATACGACGAACAGGGAGCACTGGTTTTATGCAACAAAAAATGTGAGCCCATGATAACGTAGAGTATAGTAGCAAGCAAATGACATATATAACAGAAAACGGATGTATGGCGAACACAAGACTTCACAATCACAGCAGAGATTATGTCTTTCAAAATTATACCATTCAACTCAACATGGGTGAGAGGCGGTGGGGTAGCCTAATGGTTAAAGCGTTGGCTCGTCACCCCGAAGACCCGGGTTCGAATCCCCACATTGGTACAATGTGTGAAGCCCATTTCTGGTGTCCCCCGCCGTGATGTTGCTGGAATATTGCTAAAAGCGGCGTAAAACCAAACTCAGTCAGTCAGTCAACATGGGTGAATAAAGGATGATGCAAAATTAATGTTCTTCTGAAATGCAGGATTCGTCTCACACTCAGGAACAATGGAAGTGAACATACCTTCGCTCTTAGAACTGGGTCCACTGGCAGCAGCCGTGGGTTGGGTTGTATTTCTTCCAGGTACTCTATGATGGCTATCTGGAAGACATATAGGCGAAAATATATCTTGTATGATTCCGACTATATCATGAGCATGTGTTTATGAATCACTATCAAACAGTGATGACACCAGGTGTTCGCGAAAAGTTGAGAACTAGATGCAACAGTCACGAAACCATGCAGGTCAGTTATTTATCTGCAAAAAACACGGTAACATACGGTACAAGTCAAATAACCGCCATCATTGCCACTGATACACCAATAAGAAGGAACGTTCCGACCCGGATAAAGTTTAGTTACAACTTACAACGTATTTAGGTCACATGTTGTAATGGATTAGTCACACATGATAATACTTTTAATTCTATTTTTTGTACAAATATCATTTCAGTTAAAAGTATTGTTGAACTAAGATGATGGAACGAAGAGTTCGTGTGGTCAAATAGTGAATGAGTGAGTTTAGTTCTATGTGGCACTCACCAATATTCCAGCAATATGGCGGCGGTATGTAAGTAATCGAATCTGGACCAGACAATCCAGTGATCAACAGCATGAGCATCGATCTAGGCAATTGGGATACGATGACATGTGTCAACCAAGTCAGCGAGCCTGACAACCCGATCCCATTATTCGCCTTTGACGACAAGCATGGGTTACTGAAGATCAATTCTACCCCGGATCTCCACGTGTCCGTGTAGTCAAAAAACAAAAATACTTTGGTATGATGCCTGGAAATTGGTATTGATCAATGATAGTTCATGTGAATAATCACTTGTAAGGTTACATAAATGGAATATTTGTTTACTAACCGACTGCGTCAAACACGATTCGCCATGAATAAGAGCAGGCACCTGTCCTAAAGGGCTGGCTTTCAAGAAGGCGGGGCAGTTTAGCTGCAAAACGTAACCACAGAAGTATTCGTCACCTATATCCAAACTGTAATTTGAAGCTAATATAATGGGACCAACAGACTATACGTATCAGATTTTAGAACAATAGTGCTCATGCCATATTTACTCTGCACATAATGCAACACGATCAGAAAAACAAAACGAAATACAAACACCCCATACTGTTATGAATTCATGTGTACAAGATAATGCTATGCATGACACATGGATAAATTCAAATGAAAGCAGATAAATCACTGTTTTAACTGACGAATAGTATTCAGTCTGACGGAAATAATTTCTCATTCTATTTATGATTCGAGCGTTACCTTGTACAACAACAAAATTTCAATTAGCTCTTATACACGAAATGGTAAATTCGAAAAACAGACAATACAGTTTACTACAGCTATGTAAATAAAACTAAATATTTTACTATTATTTGGTTGGTATATGAATGTAAACTGACATTGACAATACAAAGCTTCCATAAACGTTCTGTGACCAGATCCACAAAGCATTCGTAGCGCTACGGCATTCGTAAGTCCATGTTTAAACTACAGAGTTCCGACAGGTTGTAATGGTACGAACGCTTTGTCGTTCGGGGCCCATATCTCCAACTGTTCCAGACCAAGAAACGAAGAAAAGAACACACGAAGAGACCGACAGCATGACATTCAGATGCTTATTCGCCATGAATATATTCGTAACTGAAGATAATTACAGAACACTGTATAACCCAGCCAAGACCCTAACGACAACTAAAACGTCAACAACATAAACGTAATCGTTGATGTCTGGTGTACCTCTCTACATAAAACAATACTCTTATCTGGTCAGGGTGTCAATATCATCTTAATTATAGACTCGCTTGTGTTGTTTTCCTGAAGTATCGTCTCTTCTCAAGATGTGCTTGTCGCCAACTCTAGATTTATCAAATTAAGTTCCGCTGATTATTGAGTCAGAATCAAAATCTACTTTAAAGGGGCTAATACTAATATACCCTCAGTTTCTGCCCCTTCATTCGAAGTCCGAGATCTACCTGGGCTGGTGGGTTTGTCTTTCGTTTGGTGAAGTCGCACTTGGTAAGATTGAATAACTGATTACTTCGTCAACGGGCATGGTATGAACATGTCACATTCTGAATCTCATGACCAAATGATTGCATTTATGTGTGAGTGACTACTGTGAGTTGACAAAGAGTCAACAGTCTCTAAACCATGGGGTAGTTATCCTACCATTGCATCATCCGTCATGGAAACTTCTTCATATTGCATTCCTTTGATAGCCAGAGCTGAAAATAGAACAGCAGTACGTTACGGTCACTGTGTTCTACTTCTGTACATAAAACTCTATCCGTTTGCCTGTACATACAACGGGGCGGGTGGGTAGTCCAGTGGTTAAAGCGTTCGCTCGTCACCCCGAAGGCCCGGGTTCGATTCCCCACATGGGTACAATGTGTGAAGCCCATTTCTTGAGTCCCCCGCCGTGATGTCGCTGGAATATTGCCAAAGCGGCGTAAAACCATACTCACTCACTCACTGTACATACAACACCTGTAAATCCCCGATTCAGGGCCAGGCAGGCAGGCGCGTGGCAGTAACTATCCAAGCCAGTTGAACCACCCCCACAGTAGTCGCGCGGCTGTTACAAGCATCTGTAGACCATGAACTCTATTTCCCAAAATCACTCCCACGCAGGCTTAATAATGGTACTTTTGTGGATTGTAAATAGTCTTCGGTTCAACTGATAGTGTGATATCGTAATTTGAACTGCGTGTAGTATATATTACAAACAACTGCAAACATTGAAAGTAACCAAGCTGCATTTACTGCCAAAACTAGTATTTTCTTAGGTATCCATTACCATTACACTTTCGCATAAATTCCCAACGTACCTATTCTCACTCTCCAGGTGCAGGAACTCTGGGAGTGGCCGTAGAGAATCATCATCTATACAAGAGTAAACAGATTTTTTAATGAACTAGCTGAAATGTCAATCCTGCTGCAAACACCAAAGTTTCCATTTAACTGCTGTCTTACCAAACTGACCGATAGATACCCAAAGCATGAACACTGAGCTGCAATTAAACCAGAAAGAGAAGTGAAGACTGTGTCTAGTGACAATGATCCAGTCCAGTCAAGATCTGTGAGGGATAATCTGGTCTATGTAAAAATTACTAAACTAAGAAGAAATCATACAAACTTTTCAGAAATCAAAGTTAATTAACCCCAAGATCGAACATGGACTTTGAGAGAGTTCACATGATAGAAGCACATCGTATAGACCAAGCCAGAACGAGGTCCATCGTCACTAGGTTTGCCAAATTTAAGGCAAGATAATTAATTTGTCAGACATCATCAAGTTTGATAAATTTGTAGGCCCAAGCCATGGTACGAGCAAGCTAATCACAATAGCATCACATTATGCCATACATAAATCTTTTCTTTTTTTTATTCATCTTTTTTTAGGTACAAAACCATGACATCAAATAACAGTCAAATATAACCATGCGTTTGTATACATAGTTTGGCAAGCATATTATAACAAATGACACTGTAGGAAAATGGGTCGGTAGTAACGTTAGTATCAATCAAACAATTGGTGACAATCAGACCAAAATCCAACAAATTTGGTAAAATTACAAGAAGAGATGGCAGCTGTTCTCTCGATATTGTAACCTTTACTTATTTCATTTCTGATCGTATCGAAACTTGGTGTACAAGTATATATTCGTATTTTAAAAAGAGTAAATTTGACAACTGTTGTCAGGAGATTAAGGACATCGTTCCTTTTATCAGAGAATCCAAATATGATTTTCTTCTTATCGATATTCAATGTGATATCTGTTTTTGTTCTTATCCAATTGGAAAATTGATTCCATATGTTTTTAGATTTTGGACAGTCGTGAAAGAGATGAATTCCGCTTTCTGGTGCATTTTTACAAAATGAGCATAGCTTACTCTCTACATACCCCATCTTAAACAGCGCAAACATTAGACAAATTTATGAATGATTAGAAAAACAAATAACGTCTTATTATGTAACAATTTACTAATAAAGAGAACAGTTTCATACATAAGCGTGGCGATACCATGTTCTTTTTCATATGACACATATTTTCACACATATTTTGTCACTGTACTTTTATGCATTTTAGCAGAGTTTGGGCCAACTTAAAATATTACATCCTGACGTCTAATAGAGGCAATGCGGTATCATATTTATGTCAGTTGTTATCGGTATTCATTTGTGAAATAGACTTGGAGAATCACACAGTCACGGTGCAGCTTTGTAGCAGAAACAGATACACCAATTTGCAACAGAATTGCTGTGAGAGAGAGTCAGCTTACGCTTAACGTTAACGCCAGATCGTATGTGAGAATAGAGGGATGTATACAGTTTATCGCGAGGCAGTGTTTTACCTTAGACATGGCGGATGGCTGCTAGGTCAGTGTAACCTATAAGCAGGTCAACCTCTCAATGCAGCATATCCGATGTGCTGGTGACAGAACTTCTTTTTAGGTCAGGGTGATATGTACGTAATACGGACAATAAATGAACAGTACTCTCTGTCATGAAAACAATATGGGCTTTAGATAACTGGTGAGTAAACAAATTAACCACACCGTTGAACCAATGGAGATGTGCAGTGTACAGATAAAACAAGAAATACTTTTCAGATGTTGCTGAGAAAAAAACAAATTGTTCTCACACTTGGACTAGATGTAAATATGTGTTCCAATATTTAATCCTGATTTCATTTATCAATAATGCATTTATTGATATCACATTTTAATGAATTCTAATATTTATCGGAAATTCTAGTAAATGATATAATATAATAATTAATAATACAATTTAATAGAACATTTAATGATGTGACAAATTAGAACTTCAGGTATCATAAATGAAATTGTGATATCGAAAAATATCATTTGTGATATCAATAAATGTTTCAATGATATCATGAAATAAGGAGCCAATAGTGAAATAGGCCCTCAGTATATGCAAAATGTTGTGTGACAATTATTCTTTAAATAAACGACAAACCGATATTTCATACTGATAATGATGCAAAATGCAAGAAAATGAGATGGTGGCTAGATTTCTTCAGGGCGATAAAGCGATGGCCCGAATGAGCCACCATACTATGCCACCATACATTACACCACTTATCCAACTCCTTACAGCAACAGGTCGTCACCTGCTGCATTCGTGTTTCGTTTGTGGTCACATGGACCTCCTTAACGGCAAATACAATTAGAAGCCCACATTTTAGTCTCATAATAAAACAAAATAATAATTTTAGAAAACATGTTTGTTACAATTGATTCGAAAGTACGTCTGCACACGTCCAACTATCTTTGCATCAACTGCCCAAGGGCAGGTAACTCTCAGTATTGCTGCCGGGGAAAACAAATCAGGTGTACGGTAACATCAATAAAATCGAAGATATCTGCACGCTCTATGATACAACGAACATAGCGATGTCGGCCAAACATGCCCAGGCTCTTCGGAAAAGAAAAGGTGGCAAGGAAAAGGAAGGTGGAACTATTGGGAAGGAGGAGGAATTTAAAAACCAAGGAGCTCAAAATCAAGGAAACGCAGACTCGAAGCCAACACATCTAGTCAATGACAGCGAAGAGGCAGGTGGACATGGCGATGGCGACAAGAAGCCAGCGAGGAAGAGATTCAACAGGGACGGACTGTTGACCCCCAGTGATATGTCGTCAGATGAGGACGACGAGTACCCGCCCCGAGAACCAAGAACCTACTTTTTATGCCTGTGTTTATTCTCCCTAGCGTCGTTACTCACAAGGCTTTACAATATTGAGCTACCTCAACATGTTTGGTAAGTTCAATAGTATTCCGAACCCACCAATTTGCAGTATATTTACATATGAGCCGAGAGGGTAAGCCACGAGGTTTTACAATGCTGAGTTAATTCAGCATTTTTTAAACTCCCTAAATGGCAACAGTTTTACACACTTGAGCATCTGCTTCTGGTATCATGAAAATGATATTTATTGATTTAAGAAAAAAATGGGTGACTGGCTGTCTTCAACTGTAGAATCCACACCAGTTTCAACACACACACATATATATATATATATTCTTTTAATCATCATAATCCTGTGTTTCTCAGAACCATGTTTTGGCCCCTCTCATAACATGCTATGTACTGATCATGCTACAAAATGCTTCAATCATACTTAAAAACTTGATAAATGTCCCCAGTGGCAGTGAATTTATCATACCATTTGGCTAGAATGCATTTTACTGGGCGCAGCCCTCACTGCTCCCTTTACGATTCTTAGGGTTGGGGTACATGTCACCCTTTACGATCCTTAGGGTTTAGGGTTAGGCACCCTTTACGATCCTTAGGGTTAGGGTTAGGGAACCCCAGCAGCGTTAACTAATCTGAAAAAGTGCACCCCGGTAAAGTGCAGTACTCCCTATCATTTGGTATCAGTATCTGTACCGATACAGCATCAACATTGTTAACATTGTATGCACATTAAATGAAACACACTGTATCTCATCACATACCACACATGCATTTGTTCCACTGATCCAACTACTGTGCTTACCCCCCTTGCAATACAAACAATAATACATTTATACTAATAATAGCGGTTTGAATCTATGATCGTTTGTTAAACAACTTTTATCCCAAGTTGAATTCTGAGATTTATATATGCAATTGGCAAGGTAAAATTATGAGGATTTGCAATCTTAATTTCACTTTATTTGATTTACTTTTTTGTTTAAAGTGAAATTCGTTAGTACATTTTCACTGCAAACAGACTATAAACAAGAGTAAACAAGTACATGTCCATAACAAGATTATACAGGCGTATGTTAACATAGGATTAACAATTTTGAGAGGATTATGAAAGTATTTAGTATACATATTTGTAATGCTGTAAATGCTGTAAACATTGTAGAGATAAGATATGTATGTTTGTTAGATGTGTAAATCACCTGATAATAGTGTGTATAATTCAGATATATTCTTGCACAATGACAGGACAAGCAAGTCTAACATGTCTAATAAATGGCCACTCTGGTTAGACTTAGACAGTTGTCAGTTTTGGTTTTCGTTTTTACCATTTTCACTGAACTGAACAACATACAGTGATATAGACAAACAACTACACAAGAAAATAACTGGTCAGGCATTGTTGATCTGCAGGAGGAAAAATTATTACAGGGTTCATTCGATGTAATACTTACTTACTATCTGGCCATTATCAAAATGCTTCCTGCAATAAGACTAGTGATATAACTTATAAGTTCATATCCACTATCGTATTTGTTTTATTGACTAATTTTGAATCAAACTTTAGTCTGACACGCCATCAAGCATACAGATGAAAGTAAAACAGTCTTGTTTCAAAGCATGCAGAGAGTCTGATGTCTGACCATATTAGATTGCTAATGTTTTCATGTTTCTTTGACCATGTTAGCCAAGTTTGTTCATTTCCATAATCATATCTAATGTTCAAGGCCAATCCAACTTCCATCATAGCAATAGAACATATAGAAAACTGTAGAAGATGTAGAATATTAGAACACACACCTACTGACCTAGTGTACCTTGAACTGAATAAGACTTTGCCATGTTCATTGCTTATAGTTATTAATCATTTAATGACCAAGAGCAATATGTTGAATACTGGTTTTTTTATCAAGTTTATGGTTTCATTATCGTGATGAAGTTCTTTTACATTCAGTTAATTCTTTCAAGGGAACTTATACCATTAAGAACCACCTCTCATGCTTTTCTCTCATATGATTGATATACTTCTCCATTGCAGCTGGGATGAGACCCACTTTGGGAAAATGGGAAGCTGGTATATCAACCGGACCTTCTTTTTTGATGTGCATCCGCCCTTAGGCAAGGTAATCCATAGTGTTCTCTCCCTGCTTGGACAAAGTTGGGACTTGCTTCCTGTGATAACAGGTTCTTACAGAGCCACCTTGTTTCATCTTGTCCGGGCCCCAGGGCATATAGGACTGACTCAACACTAAGGCTTAGTTTGGCTTTTAGCATGTACAGTGGTACAGCTTGTTATCATGATGATGTGTCCGTAGTCCGTATGATCATGAATATGTGTCATTAGTCCCTATGATCATGAATACACGTCATTAGTCCCTGTTATCAAGATTATGTGTCATTAGTCCCTATGATCATGAATATGTCTCATTATGTGTCATAAGTCTTTATGATCAAGATTATGTGTCGTTAGTCCTTGTGATCATGAATATGTCTCATTATGTGTCATAAGTCTTTATGATCAAGATTATGTGCTGTTAGTCTTGATAGTCATGCTAATATGGCACAAGTCCCTATGATCAAGATTGCGTGGCATTAGTCCATATGATCATGATGATACATGATATTTATAACCATGTTCAAGAGTCTTCAAAATGTGTTTCTGTAGCATACTAACTTAGCATGACTAGAGAGGACCGCTGAATGTAGAGAGATAGATCAAGGATTTTACAGGTAGACACTATTGGTGATACATGTAATCAGTCCTGTGGACAAATTGCATACTTTAACAATCAAGAGAATGCTTGTGGCGAAAGACTTGTGCTTGTATCCATGGTTTCAAGATTTGGTATTGTTGATACTGTTGACTAGCTGATATTGTTTTATTTCCTTCCTCAACAAGCTTTTTGTGGCTTTTGAATGAGTTGATCAATTTTTGATGCCAGGTAAGAAAATGTAAATAATCAACCATAGTATCAGTAACCATGGCAACAAATGCAAACATGGTTAACAGGTAAAGCTTAAACTTGAACAAACAAATAAGGCCTTATCCTGAATCATGTAATAATATCATTTATCATAAACATAATATAGACAAAAGAAAACATGGCACAGTGTTGGAACAGTAATAGGCAGCAAAACTAGCATTGTGTCAGTTTTTTTTGTCCATATCATTGTGCACAGGCAGGATCAAAGAATGCATGCTGGATGTGTATACTCCCTTTTTCAGACACCTGGCATGTTATCATGGTTATTGCACCCTCAAATTGAGTACTATAAGCACCATCCCTTTTGCAAATCCTGTATCGCCTATTTTGCTAGATATGCATTTGATAACCAATTTCACCACATGAACAATGATGATCATTTTTTCAGGAGCACATTCTGCTTTCATGTTGAACAGTCAGAACTTATCCACAGCCAGTGTATCATCTGTCCCTTCCATTTTCCATTTTTATGTATACCTTGGAACCATTCACTATTTTGATTATCCATCACTTTGTTTTGAGTGTGAATGAAATGACACAACACTGAATAAATCAATCAATATGCTGTTCTGTCATGAATGAGACAGGCAGCCATATCACCATCTTGCCTGATGATCCCCTCAACATTTGCTAGGTGTTTCCAGTATAGCTCACATCACATGATATAAGCATTAATATGAGGGAGAACACTTTTGATTTTCGGGCAATTTCTATTTGAGTACCTGTTTTAGTGAATATGTTTTACATATGCCTCACCTGGTAGGACTAAAACATTTGTTAATATTATTAAAATCAGCATCTGTTTATGTGGGGTTTTTTAAAATTCGCTCTTAAACATTAAAATAAATGCTGATGTTAAACCAAGATTCTGTCCTCTCCTAACACCGGAAACACTTGTTCTTGTAGCAAAGAGACATAATTACTTAGTACTCAAGAAAACATCTTCTCCAGCCAAATGTACCTTCATAACACTTCATTAATAGTCATGTGCCAGCACTATTAATCAATTATATATTGACATGATTGAGGACATGTTCATGCAACTTGTACAATAGAAACAGTTTGAATGCATCGGTCTATCCTGAACCTGTGTTCAGAACAAACAATTTTGGTGGGTTGTTGATTTCAGAGCCATGAGCAAGAGAAAGTCTGTCCTCAGTGGTTGATATGAGAAACTGAGCTGGTTATAGAAGCTATGTTGGAAAATGGAGATAATATAAATGAATAAAGTGTGGAGACAGGATATGACGGTTGTTCCATCCTTGTGTTGCTGAGGGCTTCTGCTTGGTATTTGTGGTTAGGCCTGGCTGTATTGATCTTCATCTATGATGTATGTTTTGTATTGATTGACAGGAGCAAACATGTAGCCAACAAGCTGTCAATCATGTCTTCATTGTCAATAGCACTAATCAATATCAATTTCCCCAGGTAGGGTATTGACTTGCTCAAGCTGGAGATGTACTTGAGAAATACTGTTAGTGTTTGGTGTAGTTAATGGTTTGTAATGCTGCGGTTTTTGATGATCAGGGGTGGAAATAACCCATTGCCCGACGTCCCAGTCCAGTGTTTTTTTCTGTCGGGCAAGCAAATTTGTATATCACACTGTACCGGTGTCCAGTTGACTTTTGACTGTTAATTATGTTGTTTATTTTAAAAAATCAACAAGAAAACGGACGGTATAGAGGAAAAATGATCAGGGCAAGTGATTTTACATGTGCCACTGTGCCAGAGTACACTAGCAATTTTAAAGTTACTTCCACCCCTGATGATGCTGTAGCAGCTGTACACAAAAATCATTCTAGTACTAGCAGTCTTTTACTTGACACAGAAATAAATATCCAATATGTACAAATGAATAATATGGATGCAGGGAAAGCATATAATGCATCCCTGGGGAAATATAATAATTCATTGTACCAAATTCTTGTCAAGAAATATAATAATTTTTTTAGAAGAAATATGTCATGGTTAAGATCCTGTAATGAAAATAATGATCAAATCTTACAGAACAGTATTCCACACTGTTTCCAGGATTCAGGTGTGGAAGACAAATTGTTTTGTCTTAGGACTGTATCAAGTACATATATTGTTCCCACACCCATGCCCACGTCCACGCCCAATACTATTAAATAGGGGGGAAAAATGGCCTTTTTCGAGGAGTCATTTTCTGTTCATTAAAAAGTTACCTTCTTATGACTGAAGGTGAAGGGATAGCCAACTGTGACAAAAGTGACCCGTTTTCAACCTAGAACTATGTTTTTCCAAAAAATTATTAGACATGTTAAACAGTAATATGATTTAATATGTCCCAATTACAGGGGTACACTTTGGCAAAATGCTAAGGAGAACTGCAAATCAACCAGCATATGAACATAATGAAGGGCTTGAAATGCAGTAGAAGATGCTTTCAACTTTGTCACATCAATATGATGTTGATAATGCTGGTATTGATTGATCTTCAATGCCAGCAAGTTCAGTGGCAAGTCTGATCTGAATTGACCTGATTTAATCTGAAACTAATGATATAAGGGACCGTTCATAATTTATGGTTAGGGGGTGGTGGTGATGATGATTTTATGGGGGTTCAGCCATTTTGTTCTGGGGGATCTTGTACACATGTACAAGGGGGTCAGCAATTTTGTACATAAAAATATTTAAAAATTATGCTTAAAAATTGATTTTGTACATGACATGCAGGGAGTCACTTACTTTGTAAATATAATTGGGGGGTAGGCTCATTCACATTGTACATGCTTCTCAATAAAGGTACCCTGCCATGATATTGCTGGAATATTGCTAAGAGTGGTTTAAAACCAAACTCACCTATTCACCTACTATAACCACAAGATGGCACTCTGATCATTATAAGGTATTTGATAATTATGATTATAAATTTATATACTTACGATGTTAATATTGTTCTCACTACTTTCAACCCAGCATTTGTTTCGTCACTATGGTTACATGATTCAGTAAACTGTTGATTGGGCATTTAGCAACACATAGTAGAGTCATATCTTGACAGGCTAAGTGGATTTGGTTAAGTTCAGAAAGGACGAGTGTTACCTTTTAGTTACAAGATGTCTCCCCTCAACAGAAGGAAGAACATACACAGACATGCAATTTGAAATTGTGATCCCCAGACAACTTCTTGTACAGTATGAAATGTCATGAAAAGTCATGAATGTCATGATACAAAATACAAGTGCAATGCTAAAGAACATTATCAGGTAATTAGTTGTTTTGTGCAAGTTTTGTTTTTCTGGGGAGGGTGGTGGTGGGTGGCAGACCCAGTTGAAGTTACGTTTGACACAGCACTCAGCAATATTCCAGCTATAATCGGGCGGTCTGTAAGTAATCATGTCTGGACCAAACAATCTGATGATTGATATCATGACCATCGATCTCTGCCATTACGAAGAACACAATGCCCAGGCCAGCAAACCTTTCCCCCTGATCTCGTCTATTCTAACCATATACTGTTTTGTATGTACAGGCTTACAATAAACATGTCCATGAACTATGTGTAAACCTGTGTTAATCATTTTACAGATGCTTATTGGCTTGGCTGGTGTAACAACAGGTTACGATGGCAGTTTTCCCTTTGCCAAGCCTGGAGATGAGTATGGAGGCACCAACTATGTGGGCATGAGAGTGGTGAGTATGGGTTTACTGAGATATATGAGAGTGGTGAGTATGGGTTTACTGAGAATGTGAGAGTGGTGAGTATGGGGTTACTGAGAATGTGAGAGTGGTGAGTATGGGTTTACTGAGAATGTGAGAGTGGTGAGTATGGGTTTACTGAGAATGTGAGAGTGGTGAGTATGGGTTTACTGAGAATGTGAGAGTGGTGAGTATGGGTTTACTGAGAATGTGAGAGTGGTGAGTATGGGGTTACTGAGAATGTGAGGGTGGTGAGTATGCAGTTACTGAGATATATGAAAGTGGTGAGTATGGGGTTACTGAGAATGTGAGAGTGGTGAGTATGGGGTTACTGAGATATATGAGAGTGGTGAGTATGCAGTTACTGAGATATATGAAAGTGGTGAGTATGGGGTTACTGAGATATATGAAAGTGGTGATTATGGGATTACTGAGAAATGTGAGAGTGGTGAGTATGGGGTTACTGAGATATATGAGAGTGGTGAGTATGGAGTTACTGAGATATATGAGAGTGCCAAGTATGGGGTTACTGAGAAATGTGAGAGTGGTGAGTATGGGTTTACTGAGATATATGAAACTGGTGATTATGCAGTTACTGAGATATATGAAAGTGGTGAGTATGGGGTTACTGCGATATATGAGAGTGGTGAGTATGGGGTTACTGAGATATATGAAAGTGGTGATTATGCAGTTATTGAGATATATAAGAGTGGTGAGTAAGGGGTTATTGAGAAATGTGAGAGTGGTGAGTATGGGGTTACTGAGATATATGAAAGTGGTGATTATGCAGTTACTGAGATATATGAAAGTGGTGAGTATGGGGTTACTGCGATTTATGAGAGTGGTGAGTATGGGGTTACTGAGAATGTGAGAGTGGTGAGAATGGGTTTACTGAGAATGTGAGAGTGGTGAGTATGGGGTTACTGAGATATATGAAAGTGGTGATTATGCAGTTACTGAGATATATGAAAGTGGTGGGTATGGGGTTACTGCGATATATGAGAGTGGTGAGTATGGGGTTACTGAGAATGTGAGAGTGGTGAGAATGGGTTTACTGAGAATGTGAGAGTGGTGAGTATGGGGTTACTGAGATATATGAAAGTGGTGATTATGCAGTTACTGAGATATATGAAAGTGGTGAGTATGGGGTTACTGAGATATATGAGAGTGGTGAGTATGGGGTTACTGAGATATATGAGAGTGGTGAGTATGGGGTTACTGAGATATATGAGAGTGGTGAGTATGGGGTTACTGAGATATGTGAGAGTGGTGAGTAAGGGGCTACTGAGATATATGAGAGTGGTGAGTATGCAGTTATTGAGAAATGTGAGAGTGGTGAGTATGGGGTTACTGAGATATATTAAAGTGGTGAATATGCAGTTACTGAGATATATGAAAGTGGTGAGTATGGGGTTATTGAGAAATGTGAGAGTGGTGAGTATGGGGTTACTGAGATATATGAGAGTGGTGAGTATGGAGTTACTGAGATATATGAGAGTGGTGAGTATGGGGTTACTGAGAAATGTGAGAGTGGTGAGTATGGGGTTACTGAGATATATGAAACTGGTGATTATGCAGTTACTGAGATATATGAAAGTGGTGAGTATGGGGTTACTGCGATTTATGAGAGTGGTGAGTATGGGGTTACTGAGATATATGAAAGTGGTGATTATGCAGTTACTGAGATATATGAGAGTGGTGAGTAAGGGGTTATTGAGAAATGTGAGAGTGGTGAGTATTGGGTTACTGAGATATATGAAAGTGGTGATTATGCAGTTACTGAGATATATGAAAGTGGTGAGTATGAGGTTACTACGATAAATGAGAGTGGTGAGTATGGGGTTACTTAGAATGTGAGAGTGGTGAGAATGGGTTTACTGAGAATTCGAGAGTGGTGAGTATGGGGTTACTGAGATATATGAAAGTGGTGATTATGCAGTTACTGAGATATATGAGAAAGTGGTGAGTATGGGGTTACTGAGATATATGAGAGTGGTGGTAGTATGGGGTTACTGAGATATATGAGAGAGGTGAGTATGGGGTTACTGAGATATATATGAGAGTGGTAGTATGGGGTTACTGAGATATGTGAGAGTGTGAGTATGGGGCTACTGAGATATATGAGAGTGGTGAGTATGGGGTTACTGAGATATATGAAAGTGGTGATTATGCAGTTACCGAGATATATGAAAGTGGTGAGTATGGGGTTACTGAGATATATGAGAGTGGTGAGTATGGGGTTATTGAGAAATGTGAGAGTGGTGAGTTTGGAGTTACTGAGATATATAAGAGTGGTGAGTATGGGGTTATTGAGAAATGTGAGAGTGGTGAGTATGGGGTTACTGAGATATGTAAGAGTGATGAGTATGGAGTTATTGAGAAATGTTAGTGGTGAGTATGGGGTTACTGAGATATATGAGAGTGGTGAGTATGGGGTTACTGAGATATGTGAGAGTGGTGAGTATGAGGTTACTACTGGAGATATATGAAAGTGGTGAGTATGGAGTTACTGAGATATATGAAAGTGGTAGTATGGAGTTACTGAGATATATGAGAGTGGTGAGTATGGGGTTACTGAGATATGTGAGAAGTGGTGAGTAAGGGGTTACTACTGAGATATATAGAGTTGTGAGTAAGGGTTACTGAGATATATGAGAGTGGTGAGTATGGGAGTTACTGATATATATGAGAGTGGTGAGTATGGGGCTACTGAGATATATGGGAGTGATAGTAAGGGTTACTGAGATATATGAGAGTGGTAGTATGGGGTTACTGAGATATATGAAAGTGGTAGTATGGGTTAACTGAGATATATAGAGAGTTGTGAGTAAGGACTACTGAGATATATGAGAGTGGTGTGTATGGGGTTACTGAGATATATGAGAGTGGTGAGTATGGGGATACTGAGATACATGAGAGTGGTGAGAGTATGGGGTTACTGAGATATATGAGAGTGGTGAGTATGGGGCTACTGAGATATATGAGAGTGGTGAGTAAGGGGTTATTGAGAGAAATGAGAGAGTGGTGAGTATGGGGTTACTGAGATATATAGAAAGTGGTGAGTATGGGTTAACTGAGATATATGAGAAGTGGTGAGTATGGGGATACTGAGATATATGAGAGTGGTGAGTATGGGGTTACTGAGATATATGAGAGTGGTGAGTATGGGGCTACTGAGATATATGAGAGTGGTGAGTAAGGGGTTATTGAGAATGTGAGTGGTGAGTATGGGGTTACTGAGATATATGAAAGTGGTGAGTATGGGTTAACTGAGATATATGAGAGTTGTGAGTAGGGTCTACTGAGATATATGAGAGTGGTGAGTATGGGGGATACTGAGATACATGAGGTGGTGAGTATGGAGTTACTAGAGATATATGAGAGTGGTGAGAGTATGGGGCTACTGAGAGATATATGAGAGTGGTGAGTAAGGGGTTATTGAGAAATGTGAGAGTGGTAGTATGGGGTTACTGAGATATATGAAAGTGGTGAGTATGGGTTAACTAGAGATATATGAGAAGTGGTAGTATAGGGATACTAGAGATATATGAGAGTGGTGAGTATGGGGTTACTGAGATATATGAGAGTGGTGAGTATGGGAGCTACTGAGATATATGAGGCGGTGAGTAAGGGGTTATTGAGAAATGTGAGAGTGGTAGTATGGGGTTACTGAGATATATATGAAAGTGGTGAGTATGGGTTAACTAGAGATATATGAGAGTTGTGAGTAAGGGGCTACTAGAGATATATGAGAGTGTGGTGTGTATGGGGTTACTGAGATATATGAGAGTGGTGAGTATGGGGATACTGAGAGATATATGAGAGTGGTGAGTATGGGGTTATTGAGATATATAGAGAGTGTTGAGTATGGGGTTATTGAGATATATATAGAAGTGGTGAGTAAGGGGTTACTGAGATATATATGAGAGTGTTAGTATGGGTTTATTGAGATATATGAGAAGTGGTGAGTATGGGGGTTACTGAGATATATGAAAGTGGTGAGTATGGGAGTTACTGAGATATATGAGAGTGGTGAGTATGGGGATACTGAGATATATGAGAGTGGTGAGTATGGGGTTACTGAGATATATGAGAGTGGTGAGTATGGGGCTACTGAGATATATGAGAGTGGTGAGTAAGGGGTTATTGAGAAATGTGAGAGTGGTGAGTATGGGGTTACTGAGATATATGAAAGTGGTGAGTATGGGTTAACTGAGATATATGAGAGTTGTGAGTAAGGGTCTACTGAGATATATGAGAGTGGTGAGTATGGGGATACTGAGATACATGAGAGTGGTGAGTATGGGGTTACTGAGATATATGAGAGTGGTGAGTATGGGGCTACTGAGATATATGAGAGTGGTGAGTAAGGGGTTATTGAGAAATGTGAGAGTGGTGAGTATGGGGTTACTGAGATATATGAAAGTGGTGAGTATGGGTTAACTGAGATATATGAGAGTGGTGAGTATGGGGATACTGAGATATATGAGAGTGGTGAGTATGGGGTTACTGAGATATATGAGAGTGGTGAGTATGGGGCTACTGAGATATATGAGAGTGGTGAGTAAGGGGTTATTGAGAAATGTGAGAGTGGTGAGTATGGGGTTACTGAGATATATGAAAGTGGTGAGTATGGGTTAACTGAGATATATGAGAGTTGTGAGTATGGGGATACTGAGATATATGAGAGTGGTGAGTATGGGGTTATTGAGATATATGAGAGTGTTGAGTATGGGGTTATTGAGATATATGAGAGTGTTGAGTATGGGGTTATTGAGATATATGAGAGTGGTGAGTAAGGGGTTACTGAGATATATGAGAGTGTTGAGTATGGGGATACTGAGAAATGTGAGAGTGGTGAGTATGGGGTTACTGAGAGATATATGAGAGTGGTGGTGAGTATGGGGCTACTGAGATATATGAGAGTGGTGAGTAAGGGTTATTGAGAAATGTGAGAGTGGTGAGTATGGGGTTACTGAGATATATGAAAGTGGTGAGTATGGGTTAACTGAGATATATGAGAGTTGTGAGTATGGGGATACTGAGATATATGAGAGTGGTGAGTATGGGGTTATTGAGATATATGAGAGTGTTGAGTATGGGGTTATTGAGATATATGAGAGTGTTGAGTATGGGGTTATTGAGATATATGAGAGTGGTGAGTATGGGGATACTGAGATATATGAGAGTGGTGAGTATGGGGTTACTGAGATATATGAGAGTGGTGAGTATGGGGCTACTGAGATATATGAGAGCGGTGAGTAAGGGGTTATTGAGAAATGTGAGAGTGGTGAGTATGGGGTTACTGAGATATATGAAAGTGGTGAGTATGGGTTAACTGAGATATATGAGAGTTGTGAGTAAGGGGCTACTGAGATATATGAGAGTGGTGTGTATGGGGTTACTGAGATATATGAGAGTGGTGAGTATGGGGATACTGAGATATATGAGAGTGGTGAGTATGGGGTTATTGAGATATATGAGAGTGTTGAGTATGGGGTTATTGAGATATATGAGAGTGGTGAGTAAGGGGTTACTGAGATATATGAGAGTGTTGAGTATGGGTTTATTGAGATATATGAGAGTGGTGAGTATGGGGTTACTGAGATATATGAAAGTGGTGAGTATGGGGTTACTGAGATATATGAGAGTGGTGAGTATGGGGATACTGAGATATATGAGAGTGGTGAGTATGGGGTTACTGAGATATATGAGAGTGGTGAGTATGGGGCTACTGAGATATATGAGAGTGGTGAGTAAGGGGTTATTGAGAAATGTGAGAGTGGTGAGTATGGGGTTACTGAGATATATGAAAGTGGTGAGTATGGGTTAACTGAGATATATGAGAGTTGTGAGTAAGGGTCTACTGAGATATATGAGAGTGGTGAGTATGGGGATACTGAGATACATGAGAGTGGTGAGTATGGGGTTACTGAGATATATGAGAGTGGTGAGTATGGGGCTACTGAGATATATGAGAGTGGTGAGTAAGGGGTTATTGAGAAATGTGAGAGTGGTGAGTATGGGGTTACTGAGATATATGAAAGTGGTGAGTATGGGTTAACTGAGATATATGAGAGTTGTGAGTATGGGGATACTGAGATATATGAGAGTGGTGAGTATGGGGATACTGAGATATATGAGAGTGGTGAGTATGGGGTTATTGAGATATATGAGAGTGTTGAGTATGGGGTTATTGAGATATATGAGAGTGGTGAGTAAGGGGTTACTGAGATATATGAGAGTGTTGAGTATGGGTTTATTGAGATATATGAGAGTGGTGAGTATGGGGTTACTGAGATATATGAAAGTGGTGAGTATGGGGTTACTGAGAAATGTGAGAGTGGTGAGTGAAAGGATGTTGTGACATTTGAGTGTTGTGACAAGGAGGACAGAGAGATGTGTGAGAGTGGTGACGAGTCATTGAAACATGTGTGACTGGTGTGGGGAGGACACAGCGTGGTGACTAGGAGGACAGAGAGATATGTGAGAAGGGTGACAAGGATGCTTCTCTACATGATATGATAGATGTGATTATGGGGCCATGGAGATTGATGAGTATTTATCATAATGGTGATGCGATCATGCTATTTATTATTTTGAAAGTGGAGTCTATCTTCAAATGTTTAGTGATCTTGTAGGATATGGATATGCAGTGTTAAATGAAAACCTGAGGATAACATTGTATCATTAGTCTGGTGGTGTTCCTGCTTCAGTTCTGTGCTACATGTGGAGCTATGCTGGTGCCTGTATCCTTCAAGGTTGTGTGGGTGCTCACCCATTCCATTGTTGCTGCCATATTTGCTGCTTGTCTTATCCTGTTCGGTGAGTAGTTCCTCATACACCAGGCATTATTGTTATCAAATTCATTCCCATGTAGAACAACAAGACTTGCTGAGTGTTACAGATGTAAGCACACACTGTCTCTATGTTACAGCTGTAGGCATACTGTTGTAGGCACACAGGCAGTCCCTGTTACAGATGTAGGCACACAGACTGTCTATGTTAAAGATGTAGGCACACAGGCTGTCCCTGTTACAGATGTAGGCACACAGACTGTCTATGTTACAGATGTAGGCACACAGACTGTCCAATGTTACAGATGTAGGCATACAGACTGTCCAATGTTACAGATGTAGACACACAGACTGTCGAATGTTACAGATGTAGGCACACAGACTGTCCAATGTTACAGATGTAGGAACACAGACTGTCCAATGTTACAGATGTAGGCACACAGACTTTCTCTTTATTACAGATGTAGGCACACAGACTGTCCAATGTTACAGATGTAGGCACACACAGACTGTCCAATTTTACAGATGTAGGCACACAGATTGTCTCTATGTTACAGATGTAGGCACACAGATTGACTCTATGTTACAGATGTAGGCACACAGACTTTCTCTTAATTACAGATGTGGTCACAGAGACTGTCTGTTACTGAACACCATACCACCACATGTTACTGAACACCATACCACCACATGTTACTGAACACCATACCACCCCATGTTACTGAACACCATACCACCACATGTTACTGAACACCATACCACCACATGTTACTGAACACCATACCACCACATGTTACTGAACACCATACCACCACATGTTACTGAACACCATACCACCACATGTTACTGAACACCATACCACCACATGTTACTGAACACCATACCACCCCATGTGTTAGTGTTAGATGACCCTGTTCAGTGACATAATCTCTCTGTTACAGATGTGGGCACCATAACACTGTCACGTCACATCCTACTTGATCCAATTCTGCTTGTGTTCATCATAATGGCGACCTATTCATCTGTGAAATTCAAACTGTATCAAAACAGGTATTTATATATTTCTTTTCATGTAGACAAGTTAGATGTTAAATTTTTATGCGTCAAAATCCTGATTGTCCTTCACAATAGTGTGTTCACATCCATGTTTTTACTTGCAGGCCATTCAGTTTTTCCTGGTGGGGCTGGTTGGCTGTGACGGGAGTATTTCTGTCATGTTCTATAGGGTGAGTGTAACTGAACACAGAGGTCTAATGGACTCTTTATGTTTTGGGGTTGTTATCCGATACGTTTTGTTGTCAGATTTATATACAACAAATAGATTGAATTGTTCAGTGAGCAAGCTGGCTGTTCTGAAAATGTGTTGTTGGTTGAAATGTTTTGTTTCTCCTTACAGAGCAAAATATTGAATGTGTGAATACTGTTATTAGTGTCAAAAGGAAAGATTCTTGTACAGTAGTCATCTTGTTCCTGTCAGTTTAGAACTTTTTTTCTTTCTATTATTATCTCTTTATTTCTTTATAATGGGTACATAATTTATGCATTTGTGGTACATGTAAATATTATAAAACAAAGGACATGGGTGGTAGATAATCCGTAGGCTATAAGAATACATTTGTTGTTGCAATTTATGTGAAGAGGTTATAGCAAGATGACCAAAAGGTGAAGAATTTACCATAGTTGCAGTGCGAAAAGGCAGCATATTTGTCAATTTCATACAAGGTGTGTAGATAATTTTTTAATCCAGCAATCTGTGGATGCGAATTGGAACATCTCTTTGCATATATATAGTATTTTGTTGCGATGATAATAAGGTTTAGTACATCATTTCTTTTTTCTTTATATCCAAAGATGATATGTTTGCATCCAGAGTTAACTTTGTGCCTGTTTCTTGTTCAATCCAGGCTTTTAGTTGCTGCCACAACGTTTTCACATGTACACATTCACAAAATATGTGGATAATTGATTCCATTTTAACCTTACAGAATGTACAAGAAGCAGATTGTGTCTGTTTATAGTTAAATAAATCCTTGTTTGTTGTAATGATTCTTTGGACAATTTCATATTGAAGACATCTGAATTGTGTATTACAAGTTGTTCTGAAAGGTACATAGTTACAAACTTTCCAGAGTTGTTCTGATATATCTACGTTGATATCCCTTTCCTGTTTAAGTTGACTATTTAGCTTTTCTTTTAATGTATGTTTCCTTAGCAAAACAGAGTAGATAATCTTGCATCCTTTACGTTCTTTATAGAGCATATGTATATTATTAGGAATAAATGGCTCCTCTACTTTACACAGAGTTAGTTCTTTCGAAAGTAAGTAGGATTTTATGGAGTTAATGATACCCCTTTATTCTAAAAAATTTGTCTTAATATTATATAAGGAAATAATCTCTTCATAGGTAGGAAAATTACTATCTTTTTTCAGTAGATCATTAATGAATTTAACATTTCCCTTCAAGTAATGTTTATAAATAATAGGATTTTGACATACGGTAATATTGTCGTTTGCCCATATATACTGTTGTGAAGTTTCTGTATCAACGTCATCATTTATTTGTAAAGATTGCATATTTGCCCACGCTTCGTAAACATCTCTCCAAAAAACATTACTGATATTTGGGATAATAGTGTGTTTTAAGTAGTTTGCTCCCATCTCTGTTGGGTGAAGGCTTTTTGTTGGAATAGCAAAATCTATAAGATTTGATATGTTAGAATGTTTAACAAATGTTCTGCACAGCCACTAGAGTTTTTGAGCTTGTATTGTTTCAAGAATTAAAGGTACATTTAGCACCCCTTCTTTATACGATTGAATAATTGTGTTTCGCTTGATCTTGTCAGGTTTTCCTTTCCAAACGAATTTAAAACATTTTTTCTGTAGATTTTGAATGGTATCACTTCTTGGATTTGGCAACATAGTAAAAAGATGGTTTAGGGAAGGCAATATAAGGTTTTTAAGAACAGTAATTCTGCCAAATGGAGTAAGGTCTCTTCTGAACCACATCGTCATTGTCTTTTCAACTTGTTTTAGTTTGTCTTTATAATTTCTTTCAACCATTTCAGCCTGGTTGTGTTGAAACTGAATTCCAAGTTAAGTAAAGGGTCTTTGGGACCAATCTAGTTTGAAAGTCTTACAGTATTGAATGCTTGAGTATTGCATGGAACCAATCCATATTATTGTAGTTTTTTCTATGTTTATTTTAAGGCCAGAAAATTCAGGATATTGATTAAGTAAACCCAAGGTTGCTTGAAAGCATTTTTCCCTTCCATCAAGAATAAGTGTTGTGTCGTGTGCAAATTGCGTTAATAAATATTCAATATCAAGAAGTTTAATACCCTTTACATTTTTATTTTCCCTCAACATGTGTGCCAAAATTTCTGTGCAGAGAAGGAATAGATATGGCGAAAGTGGATCACCTTGTTTACATCCTCTCGAAATATTAAAAAGATTACTGGAAAAAACATTTACTAGAACACTTGATCCTCACTAATTATAGTTGGTAGTATATTTTTTATACGAGCTGCAATTGTTGCTGATGCTATTTTGTATGATATATTTAGTAGGGATATGGGTCTATAGTATTTTATGTATTCTTTAGACTTTTCCTTTTTTGGTAAACATGTAATAAGGCCTTGTTTTTGGCTGACCGATAGTTCCCCATTTAGATGCGTATAATTCAACGGGTTTATAAAAAATATATGAATATCCTTCCAAAAGAATTTAAAGAATTCGGATGTGTAACCAGAAGGTCCAGGACTTTTGCTATTTTTCATCTTTTTCAGAGCATTAAGAACTACATCATATTGGAGTTCTCCTTCAAGTGATAGAGAATTTTCATTTGATAATTTGGGAATATTTGATTCTTTAAACAAGTCCTGAAGATTGATATCTTTTGAGCTTTGACTAGAATACAATTTTTTGTAATAACAATGAACATGTTTAATAATGTTCTCAGTATCGGTGAGTACAGAATTATCATCATTCAGTTTTATTATCGCTTTGCTTACGAATTTCTGTTTTTCCAGAGCTAGACATTTTTTGTTGTTGGTTTCTCTCCTTTTTCTTGCCAATTCAATTTAGCCCTAATCATAATTCCCTCCGTTTTTACTTTATTTATCTCTAATTCCCTGTCTTTAAGTTCATCTATCTCCTTAAGAATATTTCCTTTTTCTTTGTCCTGAATTTTATCATCTTACGAAATTTCAAGTTTCTCAAGTGAATCGTTAATTTCATTTTCTTCTTTCAACCTTTCACATTTCTTTATAGAGGAATATTTTATAGTTCAAACCTCGGATATTACACAAAAGTACTTCGAAAAACAGCTGGTCATTTATAGTTAAATGTTTTCCCCCTTCTGTATCAACTCTACTGTATTCATCGAATGTATCTCTGATAGTTTTCTTAACTTTGCTAACATACTCTGGATCATGTAACAAGCTATTGTTAAACTTCCAGAACCCACCTCCCCTTTCAAGTTTTGTGAATTGGAGTTCTATTGCTATCAGTGAATGATCAGATCTGTAACCTGTCAGTATATCCGATGACATCACAGATTTCTCGAGGTTTCTACTAATTAAAAAGAAGTCTAATCTGGCTTGTTTCAGAGGTTTCGATTTTCTCCAGGTATATATTTTGATGTTCAAGTTAGCTTCGCGCCAAGGATCGTAAAGGTTAAGTTCCTCTAGCAAATCGACAACAACTTTTCTGGCTTTTGGATTGTTAATGTGTTTATAATTATATGTATCTATATCCTGATTTTGTACGAGATTAAAATCGCCACACAAAATATTTGTGTCACAGTCAAGCTTGTTGATTAAGTTTTTAATATTTGTATAAAATGCTGGCGTATCCACATTTTGACCATATATATTGGTAATAGTAAAGATATCATCACTCGACTCTTTTTTGAGAATCATGTAATTTCCGTTTTCGTTGTCATAAATTTCATCAAGTATCTGAAAGTCGAAATTGTTTTGAAACAGAATTGCAACCCCCCTTGATTGACTATTAAAAGAACAGAAAAGAATTTCTGAACCCCATCTGTTTTGATTTTTTGCTCCATATCTCTTGTGAAATGAGTATCTTGGATGCAATAAATATGTCCATTTTTCTCTTTAAAAATGTCTAAACACATCTATTCTTTTCTTTTCATTATTTAACCCTTGACAGTTTGAACATAATATTCTTACTCTATCTACCATTGCGAAGTTTTTATATATTTCTTCCCTGTGATTTTACATAGTCCATGTACAATGTTATGACCCAATTTTCTTTTGTAAACATGACAGTGAGTTGAAGACATAGTGATTCTATAAGTGTAAAACATGAAACAAAGCAGAAAGAATATCGTTTCTTCCGCTACCAACCTTATGGGTAGCATCCCTGGCTTTTCAGCCAACCCACAGTATATTTGTTGACTAAAGATAAAACTATTCTACGAACAAGGTTATGGAATGAACAAAACACTCAAGAGGACTTTAATTTAAAAACTCGTTATTTACAACTGTGTTGTGTGTGGCCTCATAATAAGGCAAAAATCCGGATCCCAAGATTTCGCGCAGCGTTTGGTTTCCATCGAACACGCCAGTGTTAACCCTTTAGTGTTTCCCCCAGGATTATGAAAGGGCAGGGTAGACTCAGAGAAAAAAGGGCACTTTAAAATTCAAAAGGGCATTCAGCAAACAAAAAAGGCACAACAATTAAGGGTTCAATAATTTACTGTGGTTGACATAATTTGGGTCTGTTTGGCATGCTTTGATGCAAGTTCATAAATTATTCGTTCATATTCTCCTCTTCTTTCGTGCCTAGAACTTGGCCACACATTTCCTCAAGTCAATGTCAGTAGAAGACTTAGCATTCATGCTGACCATAAGTAGCTTGGTGCACTGGATGACAACCACTTGTCAATGTCATAGCAAACAAGTTCTGAATCTTCTACATCGGGTCTGAAATACACATACAAGTCAGTTTTATTTCCAGCCAAAATTTATTGTATTTTGTAATTTGGTAATAAGAAAACATCCTTTGAATATTAAAAAAATAAGAATAGTAAAAATACCTTGTACTAATGAAAGTACTTTTTCACACACAGAAAAAAAAGTTCACACTTTTATTACATTTCAGTTGAGGATAAATTAGGGTAAAATATCAGATAAATATACACAAAAGTTTGGAACAATTATTTTTAATTTTGAAAATCTTTAAGACTAGATATGGAGACAGGTAAAAATTGTCTTTGTTCATTGCAGACACCTTATCCACCACAAAATCTACTAACTTCAAATTAAGTATATATAGAAAAATTAATTTAGTATTTCTACCGATATTTTCGAATATGAAAAACTACATGTACGCCGTGCAAAAAATAAACTTAAATACTTTCAGAAAGACATGTTTGATGTGGCTTCGATTCCTGTGTCTATTTCGTGTAGAATTATTACTTCGGTAATTCGTACATTTACAAAGAGTAAATAAAATTTCAACACATATACCCAGTGCAAATATTAACTATAGCAAAAGAGAGGGTTTTGTGTATATCTAGAAAATCGAAATGAGAAATACGTGCTTCCGAAAGATTTCTTTCAGAGCGAGGTCGACTGAACAAGGAGAAATTAAAAGTAAAAAAAAACATATTAGAATCTATTCACAATCGTAATTTTAGAGAGGATAACAATCACCGGTGTGTTTTAAATACTTTAGACAAGCATTGAAAAGGAAACGGAAAAGAAAAATATTCGGAATAATCTGAAGTGATCATGTCTGATATGGCTTCCCTTTGTTTCATTCGTTTTTATTTTCTACTCACAAAAAGACTAAAATAAGATATGGACGTAAAGTATTTACAGCAAAGATTCTTAAACATAACAGACGGAATGGGCATGTTTTATTAGCTACAAAGAGATCACATGAACCTAGATTATTGCTGGAAATGTTTTCTAATTTTGCCGCTATCGGTTCTAAATGTCAAGTCGTACCTGTTTTGGTTTTCGCGAAGAAATCCACGAGTCGACGACACTTCCTTGCTTCAGCCTTCACAGCTTCTTCTCTTTTCCTCTTTGTTCTTTCTTTGATAGGCACTGTGTTTCAAAATGAAAACGAACAAAGCCGAAATCGCCATGACTTAAATAGGTAGTTTTATTGCAAAACAAACACATCCGGGAAGGGAGCTAACTCCTGCCTTTGTTAAAATCCGGAAAATATTGGATTTTTCAAAGGGCAGATAATGCGGTGATTCAAAAGGGCACAGCGCTAAATGAAAAGGGCAGGGCGCTAAATAAAAAGGGCAGGGCGCTGAATAAAAAGGGCAGGGCGCTACGCCCTGCCAAATATGACTGGGGGAAACACTACCCTTATGCCTCCAATGTGAGTGGTCGAAACACGTGGTTAGGCATGCACGAGGGGCACGGAGTGTTGTGATACTAGTGGCTAATAGTTCAATAAAAGACAGTTTACAGTCATTCTGGGGAGAAAGCCTAGATAAACTAAATAGACTTTTAGATTCTGAATGCTATGTTTCTGCACAAAACCAAAAACATTACCTTTAGAAATAGTTCGCGGCGTCACCACTTTCATCGTAAACCATTATTGTCATGTAAACAGTAATGTCTCAGTATTGCAAATATGAAACCCAACAATTAATTTGTTATTATGTTTAGAACTAGTCGTATTTGTTTTCATTCTGAAACGGGGTTATGATGTTCCTCCAGAAAAACCTCCATCCTTACTACACTTTTTATTATTACATGATAGAGTGTGTTGTGGGTGCAATAAAGCAATCCAATAAATGCAGTATCACAATCTGATAAATATGCAAATCAAATCACTGAGCAGGTGCTACTTTAAGACACATATATCATATAATGTATGCTTAAAGGTCACATGCAACGTAAAACACAACTTTGCAGATTCTGATACCTTTCGGTATGGACTTACCGAAACAAATCGCCAAAAATGCAAATTCAACTTATAAAGTTGAAAAATAACGCGATGAAAAAACCCGCACCGAATCGGGAGTTCAAACGATTCACTAATTTTCCCCCGACTTTTCGGGGGAAAACTGGTTTCAACAGCTGGGCTGCGCTCATAGCACGTGGGCAGTGAAATAGGTTCGCGCAGCTTGGAAACAGGTTGTCCGGTGAATACTCGGTGAAGGCTTTGGTGTGAGCTATTTTTCTAATGTTTTGTTGATATCTCACAGGCGCGAGCTTTTTATATGTTATGACAGTAAATTAACTGTTTATATAATTTCATTTGTCTATTTCACCACACGTTCTTCTTACTGTCACTTTCTCAGTTCGATACTTAAAAGCAATGTCATTATTTAGCGTTGACAGAATTTCTAACTGTGATATAGATATGTCGTTGTCACAGACAAAACTCAATGTCTTATTTGATTGACACCTGTGTGTCTGCCTGCCTGTCTGCTAATGACAATATTCAATACACAACTGCTATCACTGACCACAAGCAATTTGAACTTAACACCAATCAGGCTATACACCATAAACAAAACGCATTGATTTATGGCCCGAGTTCGGTCTCTGTCACATTATGTAATTACACAGACAGGCAGGTGTGATACTTGAACACATGACATGTTATGTTGTCTATTGATTGCAAAATGTTATACACAAAAAATGAGCATGTATTTACAAAACCCAACATCTCTATATATACACACACAATGAGCCGTGAGGGCACCTGCAAATGAACCAGCCGTTACACTTGAGTGCACACCCACCGCTCTGACTGGGTTCGGTATCCCGGCTGCTTTGTTTCTAGGGAAGTAAACCCAAGTCCACAATATTGCACTTTTGATTTGCGATTGTACGCTTATAATTTTGTTTATATGTTTTTTCGTAACCAGCAATGTATATTATATGTCATGAGTAAGTGATAATTGTGTTTTAATTATGTTTGATTTTTTTGTTGCATGTGACCTTTAATTTATTATTTTGAAACCCGTGAAGATCCGGGTTAGAATTGATTTTCAGTAAACCATGCTTGTCCTAAGAGGCGACTAACGGGATCGGGTGGTCAGGCTCGCTGACTTGGTTGACACATGTCATCGTATCCCAACTGCCTAGATCGATGCTCATACGGTTGATCACTGAATTGTCTGGTCCAGACTCGATTATTTATAGACCACCGCCATATAGCTGGAATATTGCTGTGTGCGGCGTAAAACTAAACTCACTCTCTCACTTTTAGGTAGGCGTTTCCTCAGGTGTGGGTGTATCTGTTCACAGGCATTTCTATGAATAAGTTTGGCACTCAGTGATAAACAGGAAGGTTCACTTATTATTATTCTTTCAGATATATTATGTTAAAATATAGAAACACTCTTGGCTAATAATGTATATTTCCTTTTTGACAGAGTAAAGTTTGTTGGTCTCTTTGTGATCGTGCTGGTGGGCTTGACAACTGCCTATGATCTGTGGGAACTGTTGGGGAATCAAGCTCTGTCTATGGTAACACTTCACAAGTCTTTTTGTATCATATCTATCAGATATGTGTAGTTATGAACAGTTAGGGGTGGCCCAGTCATCTTGGGTGCCACAATTCACTGTACAGAGTTGCCTCCCTTGACCATGCCAGAAACCTATGATGGCGGCTTCAAATCCAAGTCCATGATGATTATTTTGTCAATGCTTGGCAGTATCTATCCACAGTTTTCTATGATACACACACTTCTGTAGACAGAAACAGCATTGCTTCAGTGTTTCCACCCACTTCAAGCTGACATGCTGTGATATATGTACGTCTTTACTACTCCTGGAATGGTATTGTGTGTTGTATTCAACTTAATCGGTTCATTTGCATGGATGTGATTTCAAGGAGGAATATGTGCTTTACTGATCTCTATTGTATTATTCTTTTGTAAAACTGGTCTCATGTAACCTTGGTTTGTAAGCCTCAAATATAATGATACTCAACAGACAAGGTCACACACTGTTCTCTAAATCGCACATGTGCATAATTTTTACAATATTTGACTGGGGTTTTGTTGTGGAAAATGAAGTCCACTTTCTCATGTCTGTAACTGTCACTTGTATGTTTCAAAATGAACCTTACTTAGTTATCTCCCCTTTGTGTTCCTGCCACTAGGTGGAGGTTGTGAAGCATCTGGCAGCGAGAGCCCTGTGTCTGATTGTTCTCCCAGTTATCGGCTACATGATAATATTCGCTGTCCACTTCAATGTGCTCAGTCTAAGGTGAGTTTCAACATCAGGGCCTAGATTTCCGAAGTTCTCTTAGCGCTAAGATAGTCGAAAGTGCCATTCATTAACATTGACTCACAACTATCTTAGCACTTAGAGAACTTCGAAATCTAGGCCCTGGGGCCGGATTCACTAAACTTCTAAGAATTTTCTTAGTTTTTATGCTTAAGTTTCCTGAAGAATTCTTAAGGCTTAAGAATATTCTAAAAAACATAGTAAACATTGACCATGTTGAGTGTGTTGTGGTGGTATTTTACATTAATTCATTGAAACAGTACAGGAAACAACTCATTAATATATGACATAACTCAACTTAGATTATCATAGACATAGAGAGATTACTTTGTATGTGAATGTTGTTTTATATACCAACATTTATTCACTATGCAAGTGTCATGATGGTTTTAGGTGCTATGGTAGAGCACGATTGTTAAACATGCTCATTATATTACAATAAATACATTCCAAGTGACTCCACAGCAATTTTGTGGTTAACCAAGCAGTTCTTTTGCATTTATGGTTCCTTAACAAACCTAATTTGCAAATTAGCAAGAAGTGTTTTAAGCATGTTGGTTGTATTTCAGTGGCAATGGGGACGGTTTCTACAGTTCTGCCTTCCAGTCCTCCTTGGTGGGAAACAAACTGTACAATGTCAGCATGCCAGAAAGTGAGTTGGTTCACTGCTAGGAATAAATCTTAGACACTTCATTGAAATGCTACCAACAAGAAATGAACTAAGTGATATAATCATTGAGGAGGTATATTGGCGATAAATGTCTTTGGAATTAATTTCGGGGTGTGTAGATTAATATATGGTGTGTTGGGCAATATACCTTGTTGATTGTGTATGGTTGCCCTTAGTATTGCCTGCCATTCGTCTTCGAAGAGCAGCCCCAAGCTGGCACATTGACGAGTGCTGAATCTTGGGGGTACACTCTCTGCTTGAGGACATTCCACAGATGCTCACCTGACCTAATGGGCTTAACAGGCAGACCAATCTCTTTTTTGTTTTATTGTCATGCCATTTCTAAATCTTGAGATAAGGTTTATCAAAATGCTGTATGACTTGTCAAATACCAGGTTGAATAAGTGGTCTGGACTAGATCTCATAATGTGCAATTACCAACACGTATGCAGGGGTGGAAATAACCCATTGCCCGACGCCTAAGTCCAGTGTTTTTTTCTGCCGGGCAAGCAAATTTGTATATCACACTGTACCAGTGTCCAGCTGACCTTCCCATGTTAATTATGTTGTTTATTTAAAAAATCAACAAGAAAATCGGCCAATATAGTGGAAATATTATCACGGCAAGTGATACCAGAGTACACAAGCAATTTTAGAGTTATTTCCACCCCTTGTATGGATGTAGCTGTCATTGTTATCTCTGAATTTTTGTATTATCTCTTCTATTTTATTTGACGGCATATGTTGTTGCAGATATAGCATATGGTAGTTCTATCACTCTGAAGCAGCGCCGTACTGGCGGGGCATACCTACACTCCCACTGGCATCTCTACCCCGAGGAACATCCCCCTAAACAGCAGCAGGTGAGTCCTGGTGTTCATCATAACACCATCACACACACTCACCAAACTCCACCCACAACACTCAACCCTAACGGGGAGCCTTTTGGTTCCATACCATGGGTGTTTTGCTCATAACATCAATCACTGGATTGTCTGGTTCAGCAGCTTTATTCTTCCCTCATATATGCAGAACATTTGTATTTCTATGAGAATGAACAAACCAACTGGGCCAATGACCTTCAATATATTATATCTTTCAAGTTTCAAAACATTCGTGTAATGTTGACCGCACTTAAGTTGACAGCCACTGGATGTTAAAACATCTCATGCTTTGCAATTATCTTATATTGTCAGATAGTCACGCTACAACCATGCTGGTTTTGTATATTGCAAATGTTCAAATGCACTCTGTAATCACCCCTAGTATGAATAGTGACCACCTTGTTTGGTCAACGCTAATGGCGCTCAGACTTCACCAATCATTACTGGTATATCTAGTTGATGAGAGTGTGAACTTTCTTCATGCTTTATAACAGTATTGTGGTCCTAATTTCAGGTGACAACATATAGTCACAAGGATGAAAACAATGTCTGGCGCTTCAAGCCAGCTGATCGTGAAGCCAGTATTTCCGAGCAGCCACAACTAGTCCGCAGTGGAGATATGATTAGACTGGAGCATGTGATGTAGGTCATGTGTTAAACTGTAGCAAGTGATGTAGGTCATGTGTTAAACTGTAGCAAGTGATGTAGGTCATGTGTTAAACTGTAACGTGATGTAGGTCATGTGTTAAACTTTAGCATGTGATGTAGGTCATGTGTTAAACTGTAGCAAGTGATGTAGGTCATGTGTTAAACTGTAGCAAGTGATGTAGGTCATGTGTTAAACTGTAGCAACTGATGTAGGTCATGTGTTAAACTGTATCAAGTGATGTAGGTCATGTGTTAAACTGTAGCATGTAATGTAGGTCATGTGTTAAACTGTAGCATGTGATGTAGGTCATGTGTTAAACTGTAGCAAGTGATGTAGGTCATGTGTTAAACTGTAGCATGTGATGTAGGTCATGTGTTAAACTGTAGCAAGTGATAGAGGTTATTCATACGATTTAGCAATTTAAGCAGTTTATTCTTTAAGATTCTTTGTAAGTACAATAATATTGAACAAGACATTAAGCCATACACAATGAATGTATCATCAAATGGAAAACTTTGTCATTCAATGCTCCAAATCGGTATATTTATCATCATACATTAATGTTTATTCATGAAAACATCCATTACTTACAGAACAAAGAGAAATTTACACAGTCACAAGGAGCCAGCGCCGCTGTCTAAACGACACTTCCAGGTCTCAGGGTATGGCCAGGTGAGTACACAGGAGCCTTGGCACTGGTTATCTCACTTGTAGCGCTAGTTTTAGTCTAGATTTCCTCAGCTTCTGAAAATGAAGAAAGTCTCAGGGCTCCTTTTCATTATATATATATTTTTTTTTTATTCTGTACTTTTTTCAGTAAAATATGTTCATTTCAAAGACTAGTTGTTAGTCTACGCTAGTTTCTGTACCCCTATATTGTGGGATATTGTGGACTTCCATTTTAGAAAGGGGTGGTGGGGTAGCCTAGTGGTTAAAGTATTCGCTCGTCATGACCAAGACCCGGGTTCGATTCCCCACATGGGGGGCGGTGGGGTAGCCTAGTAGTTAAAGCATTGGCTCGTCACGCCGAAGACCCGGGTTCGATTCCCCACATGGGCACAATGTGTGAAGCCCATTTCTGGTGTCCCCCGCCGTGATATTGCTAAAATATTGCTAAAAGCGGCGTAAAACTAAACTCAGTCAGTCAGTCAGTCCCCACATGGGTACAATGTGTGAAGCCCATTTTCTGGTTTTCCCCCGCCGTGATATTGCTGGAATATTGTTGAAAGCAGCGTTAAACCAAACTCAGTCAGTCGATCATAGAAAGGGTCTTAAGAGGCTGTACATTCATCAGGACACATTAGATTTAAGCATAGATTTATGTTTTTTATCAAACCAGTGCACCTTCCCCTGTTTGGGACAACTGATTTCACATAACAAATGACAATCCTACCAAGGTCAAATTTACCCTGAGTATAAACATATCATGTTAATGATAATCAGATGATATTAAATGTTGTGAAATAACCTCTTGTTTTCTTGTTAATCTGGGTGCTGATACATTTATCTGGGATTCCTGGTGCTCCAAGATGAGTATGACCTTTTATTTGTGTTCCAGAACGGAACTGGAGACTCGAATGATGTCTGGGTTATTGAAGTGGTGGGATCGCCACGGGGCACCCCCATACAGACGGTGCGCTCAAGGCTGAGGATCATCCATTACTTTGTGAAGTGTGCACTATACTCTCATGACAAGAAGCTGCCCAAGTGGTGAGTCACTCACAATATCAGTCAGCTCGTTGCTTAATGCCGCTTTCATCAATATTCGCTCTATGTGATGATGGCCTGTAAATTACTAACTAGGTCCGACAGTTCAGCTGTTGACATCAATGGCATATGAGTACATGCATCAGCCTAGTCAGTAAGCCTTGCCAGCTTCCTGTGTAAGTTCTGTTTTACAACAAGCATGGTTCGCTGACATTCCTTGTCATCATGGTAGATGATCAGCCTCTGTGTCTGTCTTATATTCCCGCTATGTGACGGTGACCTGTGTCCGACAGTCCAACAGTCCAGCTGTTGACATCAATGGAATATGCACCATCCTAATCAGTAAGCCTAAACACCCTATTGCGAACGTTGACTTTTATAAGTTGATGTGGACCAGTTGTAACTCAGTTCTTAACAAGTGTGTGGATACCATGTATACAGCAGGAAAAGATGGGAGGGAATCAGCCACTGTCTGGTGTGTGATGGAGACTGAAAGACATTCCTTGTCATCAGGGTAGATGGAACAAAGGGATGCCTGTTCTACTTGAAGTCACTTCAGCTGATCTGATGTCCTTGTTATAATACTCTAAAATCAACTTTCTCTTCTCTAAATCATCCACACTGAGGATCACTGAAAATGTCGTCTGCTAGCAAGTAAACAAAGGGGGATAACTCTTCACAAACTAATGAAAAAGGATTAACAGAGTTGTCTCTCTTGAATGAAACCAAGCACTTGATAGCTGGTCAAGGTTGTTTATACTAGAAATCCAATTAAACATATTCCTAAAATTCTCAATAATTTCTGGTCATACTATACTATATTCGGAACTAGGGGTTACATCTGTGCTGGAATCTCAAGAGGGAAGATGGTAATGAGCATGTTTAGTTCGTACGTGAGACGGTGGACAGGAGATTTCCTGGGGGGTGAAGAACTAGTAGGCTTTTCATGTGATTGTGACGGGTGTGACCGGGGCAGGATATGCTCACAGTTTGGTGAACACTTGGTATTATCATTGTATGATAATGAGTCATAAACACATGCGGATGATGTGGTAGGCATTTGTTGTGATCATGGAAATGTTTTTTGTTTGTTATATGTAACATGTTGAATTATATCAATATCCGACAACATTTTCAAAGCTCAAGTAGTGATATGTATGGTGCTTGTATATCAAAAGATATATATTTAATATAGACAAAAAACATTTAATAATTCACTGCGTCCTGAAGGACACACGATATCATTCATTGTAATTTGTATCGACAACACATCTATGACTTTGCTAAGTGATTGGTTGTTTCTCTCAGAGCAGTTACTTGCATCCATCAGTCCATATGATCAATAATTCATTCCAGGCTCAAAAGAAATTATCAAAACATACAGTTCTTTACACCACTACTTCACAGGAGACTCACATTGCCATGAAGAACCTCTTAAACTAATAATTTGGGGTCCCCAGGACCCCGTGTTTGCAAGTTGAGGTAAGACCTTCCCTAGGTACTGAGTTTGTCTGCTTTTTGTCAGGGGCTGGGAGCAGCTGGAAGCAAGCTGTAATCCCAATGCCAAGGACAGCAACGCTCTGTGGAGTGTTGAGGAGGTGCACGACTCCAGATGTAAGTATAGTGATTACTGCTGCCATTCAATATAGACCATAGAGATCGCTAATCGTTTATCAAATGTCAGTCAATTTTAAAAAGATATCGCACAAAAAACATATTTCATGCAGAGTTGTGTATTAGTCACTAGAGTCTTCATTATTTTATAGATATCTGATGATAAATTTGTTGTATATTATTGTAGATATCTCATAGATTAAGTCGAGGTCCTAACTTGATCCTTAAAATCTGAATCAAAATCGCATGGCTGCTACATGGGCCAGACCACCTTCCTACACCGTCCCGTTGTGATCAAGTCATCAGAAATATAATGCCGACAATTCTGTATTGAATTATGCAAATTAATCGTGTTGTGACACAATCTCATAATAAAACATGTTTATTGTATATCTTGACATTTGTATTCTAGCTTCTTAATTTCACCCCAAAGTTCATTCATTGATGTTTATATTTACTTCAGCAACATCGTATGTCCCTCTGGTACTTACACATTTTCCTTATCCTGACTCATGCTAATTATGCTTGTCTCCTTCCTCTTACGAATGATAGTGGAACACTTGAAATCCCTTGAAGTTCCCTTCTAAAAAAGCGGACGTAAAATCACTCACCCACTATCATTCGCAAGAGGAAGGAGACAAGCATAATTAGCATGAGTCAGGATAAGTATAAAATATCAATTTTAGTCAGAAAATTACATTTTTCATCTTAGTCATGTCTTAATCACAATGGAAGAAAAGGAAATTATTAATGATAGCAGCTTATTCTAAATTTGTTCGTGTTTGTAGACATACCTAATGTCATGGATTTATCATCACAGTCACACATCCATAGTTAGGGCTGTAACGATGCATCAAACTATAAATGGATTGCAATTGTTGAGTCTCCGATAGCAATTAATCGATGGTAGAAATGAAAAACTATCGATGCATCAAGAGTATGTTTAACTATCGATAGTTTAGTAATTGACTGCCATTGATAAATGCCCAGTGCAAAATACATTAAGCTCCAGATTCGTTCACTTTGATTTAGAGTTATCTGCCCCTGTTACCTCTTAAACAAACTTGATCTGGGGTTCAAGTTTCTTGTCTGTTATTAAAGGAGACTTAAACTACTTGGGAAATGACTTCAAATGAGACAATTCAAGGAGAGAAAAAAAATAGTATTGCATTAGTTGGTCACAATAGACTATCTCTATCACAATAGTTGTTTCCCCCTAAATAGTCACCCCTATCCACAGTATTCATGCACACAGCAACAAGGAGATAAAGAATGCTCATAACTGCGGTCAGATTGTGTAACACTTCAAGTTAACTCCAGAGAAACAGCTTTAGTTTTGTGTTTTTTTCCACTTTTCAGTGCCAAATGTAAGCTTTGAAGTCTACTCTCCGTCATTCGTTGAGAAGTTTCTTGAAAGTCATGCAGTCATGACACAGGTAAGAAGTTCCACCATCGTTATGAGTCAAGCAGTCTATAGATGAGTTCAGGCATCAGTGTAGTGTGTCATGTGTAAGAAACACTGCACTTATCTTGTCTCTTTGTCTATGGGGTAGCCTGATGGTTAAGGCGTTGGCTTGTCACGCTGAAGACCCGGGTTCGAATCCCTACATGGGCACAATGTTTGAAGCCCATTTCTGGTGTCCCCCGCTGTGATGTTGCTGGAATATTGCTAAAAGCGGCGTAAAACCAAACTCAGTCAGTCAGTCAGTCTCTTTGTCTTCCTTCAAAGAGCAACAGAATGCAGGTTGCAGCTTACATTTTGCACATCCGAAAACTTCAAAAGTCAGTTCAGTATGATTTGAGTTGTAATCTTGTAATTAATTAACTTTGGGATTTTGTGTTTCATTTGATCAGGCAAAAAAAAACAATTGGTTGTCAAATTTGAATTTTCCTAATATCATAACCGGTGCAGGGAAACCCCAGTGTTGATATGCTGCTTCATTTATCATGTACCACCCTCATCCTTCCCAGGGAAACAGTGGGCTCAAACCTAAAGAAGGGGAGATAACTTCCAGACCCTGGCAGTGGCCTATCAACTACAGGGTAAGCTTGTTGCTTTTGTTTCTGTTGAAATATACTCATGGAAACGAATAAGGGAACACATGAAAGTACAAGTGTTCCTTTATTTATTTCCAGAATTTCACCCACAGTACAATACATACCTTGTGAAAAAACCTGGAAAAGAATAAAGGGACACTTGTACTTTTATGTGTTCCCTTATTTGTTTCCATGAGTATAGATATCGCTGACCACCAGGGCCCCGTTTCACAAAGCTCTCGTAAGGCTAAGATCACGTAACTTTCCTCGTAACATTCCTACCTCCTATACTGTAACATTGACTTACGATAGTTGTAGCGCTATGAGAGCTTTGTGAAACGGGACCCTGGAGAGGCTCTTGCTCACTGCAGTGATTACCTACTGGATAGAGCATCTGACCGGGGAGGAGATGGCTGGTGGTTTGATAACTGCAATATAATACCAGAAGACATTTGAAGATGGTACTTGTTGTAACCCTGCCTGCCTGGCACTTTACTTGACAGATAAATGGATTGGTTGACGTCGAGTCACTATGCTGTGTATGAGTGGGTTGTCCTACCTACTTGTAACCCCCTGTATATTGGCCCAGGCTTGTTTGCACAAACTTTTACTTCAATGGAATAACACAATGATGACTTACTGGCTCAAGTGTAATGACTGCATGCTTTGATCTCCGTGTAGGGTCAGATATTTTCTGCCAAGGACCACCGTATCTACCTCCTGGGCAACCCCGTCATCTTCTGGGGCCTGTTGGTCATCAAGGCCATGTTCCTCGTGTTCTTTGTTATACATAGGATAAAGTTAAAGCGTGGAATCCAAGTACCAGAGCCTATCAGAGGTAAGTGAAAGAGATTACCCCCTCATCATGTGATGTCTACTGGACACTGCTCCTCAACAGGCAGGCCCCCACCATGTGGCAGGGCATCCATATTGCCTTCTTACAACATGCCCAGTTCTCTCACTTAATAAAAACATTGTTATATATCAGTATGTATTATCAATTACTTTTAACTGTTTTACATTATTAATTTTGCACTGTGTGCATCATGCAGTGTCAGTAATTTATGTATTTGTCACTGGAGTCTTTATGTATCAGGCAGGCGGTGGGGTAGCCACGCGGTAGAAGCATTCGCTCGTCATGCTGAAGACCCGGGTTCGACACCCCCATGGGTACAATGTGTGAAGCCCATTTCTGATGTCCCCAGGGGCGGTGGGGTAGCCTCGCGGTAGAAGCATTCGCTCGTCATGCCGAAGACCCGGGTTCGACGTCCCACATGGGTACAGTGTGTGAAGCCCATTTCTGATGTCCCCTGCCGTGATATTGCTGGAATATTGCTAAAAGTGGCGTAAAACTAAAGTCACTCACTCACTTCATGCCTCATCCTTCATGCACTGTGACCTACATCATGCGCTATATTTTATTTCTGTTTCTATTCCAGTATACAATGACAAGATGTTCAGGTCCTGCTGGTGGCTGCTCCTGGGCTGGGGGTTACACTATGTGCCGTTCTGGTTCATGGGTCGTGTGCTGTACTTCCACCACTACTTCCCCGCCTTCCTGTACAGCGCCATGTTCGGGAGGTACAGTAGCCTGCACATTCACTACTGGGGATATGACAATAGGGGCTATCAGGCTAAATCACAATCACGTTAATGGCTTTTGAAGGGCTTAGTTGGCTCAGAGTCTGATTGATATATAGGCAGTGATGTTGCAATGCATGTGAACATTAATATACTGAACATCATTGAAAACGCACCACCTGTATTAGTTTGGATTTCCAAGAGCATAAATGAGCAATCGGTGTAAATTTTACATACTTTTGTAGTCCAATGATTGGTAAAGAAAAGAAACAAGAACCAATCCAGCAAAACAGTGAAGTTTTAATTCAGCTGACCATGAAAGAAAGATGGAGTCAAATTGGAAAGTCAGTAACGTGTATGACCACCGTTAGCAGCAACACAAGCTGTGAAATGTCTTCTCATTGAACTGATAAATCTCTGAATAATGTTTTGAGGCAATGCATTCCACTCTTGTTGCAAGGCATTCTCAAGTTCCTCAAGGTTGTTGATCTGTGGGCGACGTGAGAGGCGTTGGCTGATGTAATCCCACAAGTGTTCAATGGGAGACAAATCTGGTGACAATGCAGGCCACGGAAGTAGAGGAATGTTGTTGTTTGCCAGAAACTGTGTTGCAACACCTGCAGTGTACGCTCAAGCATTTTCCTGCTGGAATGTGTGCAGATCTTGATGTTGCTTAAAGAAGGGAACGACATTGTTCTGAAGAATGGTGTCACGGTAGTAAAGGGCATTCACTCTGCCACGACAAACTACCAGAGCAGTTTTGTGATGATAACTGATCCCTCCCCACACCATAATGCTCCTCCACCCCACCGATCTGTTTAAACAACACAGTCCTGATGGTAATGTTCTCCCAATACCTTCTCGACGCCATACCTGTAGACGCCCGTCAGCATTTCGCAAGTGAAAACGTGACTCGTCAGAGAACACAACACCATGCCAACGTCGTAACAACCACAAACGATGCTGCTCAGCCCATCATCGGCGTTCACGGCGATGTCTATCAGTCAGGATGGGTCCAACATAAGGGTGTCGACACCGTAATCCTGCCGCACGGAGACGGCGTCAGACGGTGGAAGCACTGATCAAACCACGTCAGCCTTGGACAGCGTTGGCGGTTCTGGCAGCCGGCAACGTACGATCCCGAATATGGCGCTGAGCAATGTCTCGATCTTGGCGGGGGGTGGTAACACGTGCCTTGGCAGGACATTGGCGGTCCCTGGTGGCTCCTGTTTGTTGGTACCTTTGTTGGCAAGTCTTATGATGGTGGAATGATGGCAACCAAATCGTCTGGCAATAATCCTGCTTGATGTGCCAACCTGCAACATGCCCAACGCCCATTCTCGTTCCTCTGGTGACAATCTTTGCATTGCAAAATAAACTTTACTTGCGGAGGTACAGCTAAAATGAGAACGTTTTTTTGCCGACGGCCATTTATACCCCTAATCAGCATGTTTTACGCACGCAATGTGTGCTTTTCGTGTGTGTTGTGCATGAATTTTGTTGTTGTCATGTGATGTGTTCCATGATGTGTTCTGGCAATCCGTTCTTTACTGTACAGCATTATTTATTGTCTTTTGTGTTATTAACAACATTTCCAATGTTCATTTTCACTCTCAAAACAATCCTATTACCATATTTCAAAATGTACAGGTGGCGCGTTTTCAATGATGTTCAGTATATAATGGCCGAGTCATTATGACGTGTGAACAGAATTATGCCTGAATGATAAAGTCACATGTATCATTAAGTTTATTATGGACCTTGTGACAGGTATTATCATTTGTTCAACCAATTACATAAGTAAAAACAAATTAGTATTTGCCATTAGCATGACTGACTAATAATATATAAATATATCAACCTCTCCAACTCTGCAGGCCTTCCCATCGTAGGTAATAACAAGTGTTCACTATTCATAATTTAATTAGGCCAAACCAATTTTGTTTCTTGTCTTACAGATTTTTGTCCTCAGAAAACCTAAAGGCAGGAGGGCAAAAAACAAAAAAATAAAAATCACCAGTCAAAGTAATATTCCTTTTAAATACTAAAAGTATTTTATTTTTAGCAATTTATGAAGTGTATAAGGGGCAAAAAACAATCAAAAAGGTTTTTTTTGTAAGTTTACATTTTTGGCCAATAAAAACATGAAGATTTTATTTTTTGAGCGGTGAAAACTAATTTTAATTTTTTTTTTCTTATTCTTGAAAAAATGTGACCGGCAGATCTGTAAAACAAGAAATAAAATTGGTCTGGCCTTACTAATTTTATTATCTCATGATCCCAGATATTCCTCATAGCCTAAATTTTTCATTGTCATCTATGTGAATCAGATTCATATGACTTAATATATCATGAACGATTTTCTTAATGTATCATAAAGCACTTCTTTTACATACCAGAAAAATATGGTTTTGGGTGCTTAAATGTTTCCTATCAATAGCCTCATTATTTTGCAACCAGTGACAGGCCTACCATACAAACAGTGAACAAATCCTCAAAACTGAACTCATGTACACCAAAACAGAACAAAAATCACCAAAATAGGAAAAAAAACTTCCAAAACTGCAACAATTTCTTTAAAACCAAAACAAACGCATCTGTAATGGAAAACAACTCGCATATCAGCTCCAAAAGCGCTCGAGAACGGTCGCCGAGCATACATAACGGCAGTCATAGCATCCCGAAACGGACTAAAAATTGTCAAAGATGGCGGCGAGGGGAGACGAACAGGCTTTGGTAAATAATGTTTTTCATCAATGAGTCTAATCTTGAAAATTTGATATCGGAATGTAAAGCATCAACCCCCTATTGTAGTAAGTTTCAAACCTATGTTCATTCTACTAGTGTCAGGCTTGCGATTGTGCACAATGTGGTCCCTAGTTCGACCGAAGAAGGTTTGTACTTTGCTGTCAACATGTCGTGCTACTGTTTCTCTTCAGTTTTGTACATATGGTAGGTCTGAATGATGATTCTGATGTGTTGCCTCTGCTGTCTGTCACAGGTGTGATGCTGGACTATCTGATCACCCGGTTCTGTCTGATACTGCCCGAAAACTGGGCAGTGAAAGTGTTCCCCTGGCTACTAGTGTTGGTCATCCTTGTGCTGGCTGGCAGGTAAATAGCCTTCACTGTGAAATCAAGAGAATCTACAGTTGTAAACCATACTTCAGATGTGCCGTGTTTTGTGTGTCATAGTATACACCAACAGTCACATTTTAACTTTGGATAAAATATTGCGATGATGATGTGATCACTTCTAATCTGAGGTGAGATGTGAGTATTCTGTATGCCATACCCATCTTATAAAGTTTGTATCACCATCAAACACGAAGCAAAATAGGCCATGAGTGTGTGTTCACTTCTAATCTGAGGTGAGATGTTAGTATTCTGTATGCCATACCCATCTTATAAAGTTTGTATCACCATCAAACACGAAGCAAAATATGCCATGAGTGTGTGTTCCATGAAGAATGCCCTTTGTCACCTGGATCACAAGTTGTTGTAATCTAACATTTCAGTTTCTACCTGTTCCACCCCTTGACGTTTGGCGCTGCAGGTCCAATGGCCATCGAAGAAGGATCTGTGATGAGTGGCCTTAAGTGGATGGATTCCTGGGACATATGAAACATGGTTGTGTGATGTAGGAGATTATCACTGAGACCCGAGTGATGAGGTTGGCAGATGATGCGGTTATCAACCAAACTATTGCTGCAATACTATATAAACCTGCCAGCATTTTACAAAAGAAATATCGTTCATCCATTTTCATCATTAGCATGGTCAAACTAAATGATATTATATTTACTTGATACTACCAAGTTATTTTAAATGTTTAGTGAAAGCCATACTTGCATTCATGGTCACAAGATATTTATTTTGTACTGTTTTACAATTTCAATGGTTTTGTTATGTTTACTGACCAAATGTACTGATATTTGGAGTGTTTCCGCCTAAAAAACTGATACTAATGTCAGTGAATTCTCAAGCTACAGCTAGATTTAGATCAGTTAAGTTTGTTTTGTTTCCCAGATTATGATTCTGACAGCACTGAAGAGCAGCTGTTTGTGATCAGCAGTGTAGGATTTGAAATATTCAGGGCAAATGTATACACTGTGCGTGGAATACATTCATGCAATTATCAGGAACTAACAATCAAAGGCATATGAGGTAAAACTGTTAGTTTTTCCAGAAATATTGTTTAACTTTTAAATAATTAGTCAAAATGTGTTTTACAAAATCAGTGTTCCTGTCTAAACAGTTAATCGTTTTATGTTGTTGTATGACATCGCATGGTTAAACAAAATACAGGCAGACATGTTTCAGTTAATTATGGAAGCGTAGATCTGTCATACTACACCCATTTCATCACACATTCTTAGACTGCAGATGTAAGCTTCTGATACAACTGTCAGCAGATATTCTTTCTAAATTAAATATTTTATCATTATCTGCTGACGGATTCAAAGGCTTACATGAAATGAATAGAACAGCTTTGGATGTCAAAGTTAACGAAAGGTCACTGGTGATTTTCTGTCCTTTTTATTCATGAAGATTAGTGATTATGTTTATATGCTACCAGCTGCCTGTAGTAATGATTCCACCATATGTTACAGTTTTAGCCTCTATGTTTTCTAATGAGACCACATCGGTCACAAGGAATCTTGTGCAATAATATGTTCTTTGCAGATGTTTCATCGTAGGCCTGAGTCCCAGTTCATAGCACAACATTCGTAAGCCTATGATAAACTACAGAGATACAATAGGTCGTAATGAACGCTTTGTGGATTGTGACCCTGGACCATTTCCATTAATGATTGTGTCCTATTTTGTAATAGAAACTTACAATTGTTGCAGCAAAATGATCTCTTTGTGAAATCGGCTCAGAACCCTAATTAAGGAATTCATCTTAACGCTTCTTTTTTCCTAGGTCAGAGTCTATGAGTATGGTTTTAAATATTTTTGCACCATGACATTTGAAATTCTAGGAGTTTCGGTCATCTTTGTGCAACTACTAGTATAAGTTTGTTGGACTATGACAGATACAATCATCTTAGCACTATGATTATCATAAATGTATTTCAAACTATGGGAGTCACAATCATCTTCATGCTACGATTGTTTTGGGAAACAGGGTCAATGCATGTACACAATGCATTCTGGAAAGATTCAGTTCATCAAAGCAATTTGTACCATCATGATGTGTTATGATGTCATTTGTACCATGATGTGTTATGATGTCATTTGTACCATGATGTGTTATGATGTCACTTGTATCATGATGTGTTATGATGTCATTTGTCATGCAAAACAAGACTTCTTCATGAGCAAGTGTGTGTTTCTTAAAGTTTGCTGGATGACTAACAGTTATGTTTTAAAGGAAGATCACACTGACAGTGTTATTCATTTAGAGTCATTGATTCATTCTTATTTATCTTACCCATGATTAAATAACTGTCAGTTTTGATGCATGTTTGATACTACAGCCTGTATCTGGTTTGGTGTTGTTTAACACAGCACTCAGCAATATTCCAGCTATATGGCAGTAGTCTGTTAATACTCGAGCCTGGACCAGACAATCCAGTGAACAACAGCATGAGCATCGATCTACACAACTGGGATGCAATGATATGTGTCACAGTTGCATAGATCGATGCTCATGCTGTTGTTCACTGGATTGTCTGGTCCAGACTCGATTAGGAATAGGTAACCTGATTGCATTCATCCTCATATATATAACACTATAACAGCTGACAGTAGCTTGATCACCATCTTCATTGCCATGTTTGTGGTCAACACTCCTTCTTCTTCAGTTATATGCTTTGGAGGTCGCCTTCGCCTGCTGGCATTTCGGCAGACCTATGGACAACACTCATTTCATGAATGAATTTCAACCAGGACCAGCATTGGATGTTCCAGCCTTTATGATCTTTTGTTTCATATTTGCCCCTTGATCAATACACCACCGTTAAACAGTAAATGTCTTAAACATACCGATTTTGTATGGATAGACAACTTCTTTTTGCAATTGATGCGACGTTTTGGTGTAGATGCTAACAAGTGACTTGCTTGATAACGGTGTTAGCATCTACACTGAAACATCGCATCCATTGCAGTATGAAGTTGTCCTATCCTAAAACATCAATACTGTTCATCATATGTGCTTCTAAATGCCTCTCAAAGAAGTAAAGTTTTGGGTTTTATAAATGTCACATTCCAAGTTGAAGTATATGAAGTCATTGTTCATGAAGCATGTAATGGCTCCTGATATACAATATGGGGTAACCATGGTAACACATATCAAAACACAGATATGACAACACTGAAAGACAATGTTATGCCGATATATATAATCACATTCCCCATACAATGTTGGGTGTTGAATTGTTTTCATGTTATTTTTAATTCCTTCTTCATTCAGTTATGCTATATTTGTGATGTATATTTATGATTATGTAAAACATAATGTGGATAACATGTTGAACCAATCAAATAATGGCTTGAAAATATTTTGTCCAATCAACATAGCGCATATAATCCTGGTACTGAGAGGTGTATATTTCCTAGGTTGATGGCTATGTACAAGTATATGTCACTATGCCATCTATGCAATACCATATCCTGTATATCTTGTATTGGATCTATTAGAAGCGTATCCTATATAATATATCCATAAGCATGATAAGGGTTCTGTGTTGGAGAAACGATCTATGTTTAGAGTTTGTGGGAAAACCTTCAGAAAGGATCAGAAAATTATCATGATAATACTAAATACGATTGAATATGATTGTGTTAGCAAATACTGCCAAGGTTATTGTGGGAATAATGATTTTTATTCTCATTTTCACAAAAATGTATCTAGTCATGCTACCAGTCACTCGTTACTTCATGTAAATGTTTGTTATTTTAATAGTTTCCTCAGCATTTGTTCATAACAAGATTGGGGTGGATATTATAATTATTATTCTAATCTATTTATATAGCACCAAGTTCCAGCTAGGCTGCTCACAGGCACTTTGTTTTTCCCTCGATATGTGAGATAAATAACATGTGTATCCACAGAAAGGATCCGTATTGTGGTACATGATCTATAGTCTATTGAAACTGTTGTAGCAGTTATAATGACGTGATTGCTGCTGAGTTTGATCGTGTTAATGATACCAGGAGAACAATATGTGATGTATCACTTGGCATCACTACACTGGCGCAAGTACAGAAGACTGGATGCATGAACATCAGGATTGAGAACAACTACCCTATCATTCTCATCTTGGATGAGTTGATGTATATATTTTATAATGGCTCCAATACTTTTAGCATTATTTTATCGATAGCTCAGTATGCGCTTGAATTCCATCTTATTTCTGTTGGCATTATACAACCAAGATGCCTTATTAGGTGCAAGAAGGTTCTCAATATCCTACTGGGTACCCATTCACTGCTAGGTGAACATTTACTCTCTGTGACCTATGCTGCATGTTTGTCTGGTGTGTGATGGATGTGCTGTATGTGCGTCACAACACCTAGGATAGCTGCAAATCCGTTTTTCTTTTATTAATCAGGGTTTTTTTTCATTAGGACACCTTTGTGTACCTTGCATACAGCATGCATATACAAAGTATTGTTATAAGTCACATATCTACCTTTTGTGTTAGCATGAGTTTTAGCATGGAGCAGGGAGTATCTAGATAAGATGCTGTATAGATCTATAATACATACCCCGGTATGTCTGGTACTGAGAAGTAATCCCTACAGTACGTCTGTCAACTGGTTTGTATGAAGGGTTATTCCACCACCAGCTACATGTCTTTGTAGACTGTTGAATACATTTCAGACTCTCAGTATTGTTGAGTTGTTACAGTTCAACAACATCAGGACCCTGCAGTCATAACAATGGAGAGGTGAGGAACTGGCCATTGGATGTACAGGCTGGGTGGGGCAACCAAAAGAAAAGTAAAGATTCACTGTGCATTTTGTGGCCAGAGTAATATTAACTGTCAGTTCCACTGTGTTATGGGTCCAAAACATGTTTTTTTGTATTTGTTTCAGAATATTTTGAAAATATGTCTCACAAACTCACACCCCAACCTCCAGCACAATGTTAAATGAAGATCCCAAGGTAATTACTAACATGAGTTGTCTGCCCTTTTTGTATGTCACATTTGTCTATTACAGTGGAGTATTATAGTTTTTCCCTCTCCATCCCTGCAGGTAGAAGACTAAGACACAGTGTATGTTCAGTACATACAAAGTATTAGAGAAAACTGTATGACAAAAGCATGTTTTATATACTGATAGTCAATAGTTAATCAAATAACTTGAACTATTATAACTTTCCAGTTTGGGAAGGTTTTTCATAATATTCACCAGCAAATATTGAGATAAATTCACCAGCTATTTTGAGATAAATTTTCTTTGCCCTATATTTCTTTATAATACCCATGTTTATACCCTTGTGTATCATGCCACGTGTTTCATGATTATTTTGGGAGGGCAAGTCTAAAAATATGCTCTAATGCATATTGATCATATCTTTCAGTATTGACAGATAGATAGATGTATTTGCCTGAAAGCCATTAGACACAAGATACAAGAAAAGGTTTACCTGTACAATAGTACGATGTATATGTTGCAGAAAGTTATTTCAGCTTCTAAACGTAACAACTCAGGAATGTCTGCTGGTCTGTGCTCACTCTTTTCTGAGATTGGCATTTTAAATAACCTTTTAAAAAATAAGTTAATAAAATTAACTTTTTTAAGGAGTTTAACTACATTTTGGTATAACGCTTATCATCATCAATAATTAATATAAAGTTTCTTTATGAGAGTGTGATAATCTTTTGGCAAATTAATAAAAACTAGCACATTTAGTATTTTCCTCCCTTTCGTAAATGAAGTGACCGCCCTGCGCCACATGGTGTTATGACCTACAGTGCCATGCAGAGTGCAATCATCTTATGTTAGCTGTAATCAATATTAATTTGCGATCTTGGCCAAATATAAATCAGTTTTTCATTTGATGAAAATGTCTGATCTTAGATGATTTGTCTGTTGAAGGGTTATCATTGACTACAGTGCTTTTCCAATGTAGATTTCTTTAACCTATTCGTTTTTGAAAAACTTCAAATTCTCAGCAGTTGGAGTTTGAATACAGCTGAATCAGCAGAAAACCTGGAAGTCCAGAACATGAAATAGTAACACTTGAAATCATGAAGCATGTCATACATGGCCACTCTGACGTTTGTACATAATGGTGCAAGCTAATATGCCTAATCCTGGTTTGTATTTCACAATTAAATGCTGCGTAACTTATTACCATCAGTATATGAACTTGCTGCAAGATGTTGTAGTGAGGCCTGAGACATTCCAGTACATGGCGTTGGGCATTTATGTCGTAGCAAGTATCAGTAGCATCTTAGTCAAGATGTTGTCTTGAGTTTAGGAATTATGTAATATTTTGTGCAATACACATTACTTCTCTTAAATCATCAGATTTTTCATAAAACCTTGCAATAAACAGATAGTATTTAACTGATAACTGATATCTAATCTTTTTATTTCTTATGTCGGGTGTGAAAGGTATCGTCCATATCCCTATGCATATATCAGTCATACCGTCCAAGGACTAAAATTCAAATTTATTGATGTTACAGTTGAACTTAGTTATGTTAAATCATTTTTGGATAACGTGAACTGATATTGATAAGTCACGTGATTTAGTCATTTTCACTGTTTGAAGAAAGCGAGATTGTATGTATATACATGTATGTTACTGTTGACAAAACCTTTGACTGGAACATTTGTTGTGCAGTATTGTGAACTTAAGTGATCAAATTCATAATGTATTTTTCTATGACTGATTGTGTTTTGTAATTACATGTTTCTAAGTTATATCATTTGATATTTGTCAATAAATGCACCAAAAGAATGCTGGTTATTGTATTTTGCCTTGATATTTATGGCAGTGACAAGAAAGCTTGGTGACAGAAAGAATTTCCTCCACAATTTTAGTCGTGATGTTATCTACGCAATTGGGAACCGATGACATGTGTCAACCAAGTCAGCGAGCCTGACCACCGGATCCCGTTAGTCGCCTCTAACGACAAGCATGGGTTACTGAAGTTCAATTCTAACCCGGATCTAGACGGTTAGCTGCTGACGTTACCATCGAGTCCTCTGATTCAAACAACGTGCAGTAAGTTGTGAGATGACACGTGAACGTCGTGCACATATATACCACACGTGCAGAAGATGGGCCTGTACGCTCAAACCAGTTGCCTGTATTTCTTGTTCTCACTAAAGTGTCCATCTGCAACATGCCTATGGCACGTCAGTGTCCAATTAATTGTAAATGTGGATCAATACCGTCTTAATGATTAAATATGTTTGATAAAGTGTTTTTGGTTCTAAGAAAACAAATGCGTTTGCTCACAATCTGGCAATGGTAAATCTGACAGACCACCCAGGGCGTGTTGTCAAGGCCACGTGCTTCACGACCGTCACAACATTGTGATTGAGAGCTTTACTTCTTTATACATGTTCTTGCCACATAAATAACTAACGTTAATTGAGGGCGATGGAGTAGCCTAGTGGTTAAAGCGTTCGCTCATCATGTCGAAGACCCGGGTTCGATTCCCCACTTGGGCACTGTGTGTGAAGCCCATTTCTGGTGTCCCCTGCCGTGATGTTTCGGGAATATTGCTAAAAGCGGCGTAAAACCCAACTTACTCACACGACGTTAATTGACAGACATTGGTATAAGTTATCGTAGTTTCAATATGTATCCTAACTGTCATATAGTATATATGTATTACCAAGATGATGATAACAAATCTTTCCAGGGTAACTGCATCCAAGAATGAACCGCTCCACTGCTATATCATTCTGCTATTTCTGTCATTTACGCTTGTCCTAAACCTACTTAGGTTTATAAGTACATGCGCGAGACAAATTTACATTCAGTCTAAAGGTTACTGCATTAGGTGATTGACAGTCACAGTGTAGCAACATCGTTTCGAAGGATACTTTCAATACGCAGGTATTTAATTAGTCGTGTATTTGGTTTGTGTTTGTTCTTCTGCTTGCATAGGTACTGGAAGTAACATTCCACATGACTTGCTTTTGTCAGTGCATGTATATTACGTTATATTACCACATCATGTGGCACGTGTGGTGCTCGTGGCTTGCTTCTGTCAGTGCATGTATATTACGTTATATTACCACATCATGTGACGCGTACGGTGCTCGTGACTTGCTTCTGACAGTGCATGTGTATTACATAATATTACCACATCATATGACACGTACGGTGCTCGTGACTTGCTTCTGACAGTACATGCGTATTACATTATATTACCACATCATGTGACACGTGCGGTGCTCGTGGCTTGCTTCTGTCAGTGCATGCGTATTACTTTATATTACCACATCATGTGACACGGACGGTGCTCGTGACTTGCTTCTGTCAGTGCATGTATATTACGTTATATTACCACATCATGTGACACGTACGGTGCTCGTGACTTGCTTCTGTCAGTGCATGTATATTACGTTGTATTACCACATCATGTGACACGGACGGTGCTCGTGGCTTGCTTCTGTCAGTGCATGCGTATTCCATTATATTACCACATCATGTGACACGTACGGTGCTCGTGACTTGCTTCTGACAGTGCATGTATATTACATTATATTACCACATCATGTGACACGTACGGTGCTCGTGGCTTGCTTCTGTCAGTGCATGCGTATTACATTATATTACCACATCATGTGACACGTACGGTGCTCGTGACTTGCTTCTGACAGTACATGCGTATTACATTATATTACCACATCATGTGACACGTGCGGTGCTCGTGACTTGTTTCTGACAGTGCATGTATATTACATTATGTTACCACATCATGTGACACGTACGGTGCTCGTGACTTGCTTCTGACAGTGCATGTGTATTACATTATATTACCACATCATGTGACACGTACGGTGCTCGTGACTTGCTTCTGACAGTGCATGTATATTACATTATGTTACCACATCCTATGACACGTCAAAGAGCAAAGTATGGACGTTTCGAGGAAATCATTAAAATTGAATAAATTAATGAATACAATCAACAGTTTTCATTAAAGTTGTCAAACGTACATCTAAGATACTATTTCCATCTTTTCGTTCGATCATGTTGTGTAAGTCAAGTGACACCTCAGCTTTCGTCACCTCGACCTTTATGCTCGGACACGATGTTTAATGAGAAAACATTTGCATAAAGAACATTTGTCACAGGTCGCCTAGCACGATACGTCCAATAAGTTCCATAAGTTACGTATATATGACGATTTGTTGCTTAACACGTTCAGAAAAGCATTATTGTTTCCAAATATAAACAGAAGATTGTTCTGGATTTTCCTTTTTTTCACTTTGAAAGAAGCTATACAATGCACAATGGTTACTCACATCTACTGTGATTCAATTTAAAGGTAAAAGAATATTACCAAGTGGACAGATCTCACTAACTGTTCTTTCACAATATATCGCAATACGTATCGCAATACAGAAGAATGTATCGCAATATATCGCAATACGAAATTTGGGGCAATACACAGCCCTTCAGCAAAACATTGAAAGTTTTATATGTACAGGGTTGAACCAGTATGAGCGTTATTTGCCCCCATAAGAGCTTTTAGCGTATGATTCAATAAGAATGTGTCGTATATTTTTGGTAATAGCTTTTATATTTAAACATGAAATTATGTTAAAAATAAGCCACCCACTGTCAGTGTCCACGAGTCAGTAACTGGAAAATGTAACACGTCCAGCAACTGGCTTAATTTGTCAAAATCTATTCAAGAAACACAATACTTTTGCTATTTGTGTCCAACTTAAGGTAAACTAGTTGGCCGTCCGTTTTTGTCTTCTACGTTTAAACACATTTATTTCCATGTCTTGTCATTTTGTCATGTTGTTTGCATGTGTCCTGCAGTGTTATGTCATGGTTGCTGCTTGCAAGGGTCTTTGGTGTTATGTCGTTTGCCGGTGTTTTGTTATGTTGTCATGTTGTTTGCATTTGTGGCGTGGTGTCATGTGTGCAGGTGTTTTAAATTATATCATGTTATTTGCATGTGTTTTGTTATGTGTTTCATGGTGTTTGCGGGTATTTTGCTATGTTGTCGTGTTGTTTGCAGGTTGTTTCTTATGCTGTCATGTTGTTTACAGGTGTCTTGGTATGTTGTCATGTTGTTTACAGGTGTTTTGGTATGTTGTCATGTTGTTTGCAGTTTTTTAAAATTATGTCGTGTTATTTGCATGTGTCTTGTTATGTTTTTCATGTTGCTTGCAGGTGTTGTATTAGGCTGTCATGTTGTTTTCAGGTATTTTATCATTCTGTCATGTTCTTTGCAGGTGTTTTGTGGACTGCTGTGCAGAATGAAGTTTGCAGCTCTCCTGCTTTTGGGAATTATGATGTCAAGAGCACAAGGTATGGGAGGCAGTGTCAAAGAAAGCCAAGATATTGTGTCTCCCTGTCTCCGTCCTAGGCAAATGAATAATCTTAGTCATCTGTAGTTAGTTATTATGTCATGTATCTCTGTCCAACTGATGATTTTTAATGCAATGCTTCATATTGTTCCAAAACCCATTACCGGTATAATTCTTTGTTTACTGTTAATTGGTCAAATCTTCCCAAAGGTATTCATTTAAAGTTAAGGCAATTAGCCTTGACGTTGCAGATGATAAAATATATTTCTACACATTTGTGTGGCAAATACATATAAATGGGGAGGGGGGGTGTCTTCGAAAAGATTTAATCGAACCAAAACAAGTTACATAGGAGGCTCTATGCTTGAGATCTACCCATTTTAAACTAACAATATAATCAATGACCCTATCACTGCAGGTAGATGTAACCTTATCAGCTTCTTGTGGGACATTAACGACGTCTGTCACATGAGACTACTGAGATATTACGTCACCTTCGACGGTGTTCTGACACGGCAAGACATCCACAACACCCTCAACGCCGTGTGCAGGTAAACCTTGCACATCTTCCGCTATTTGGGGCAATACGTCTCGATTCCAGTATTGTCAATACATTGTACCGAGCTGGTGCCACAGCATGGTCTGAAATGATAGTCATCCAGTCACATTGCACTCTCAACGCTGTCTGCGGGTATACATGGCAGTACACTAATATATATCCATTCCATCATTGTAAATCCCCCGTACACATTCGCTGCCTGCCAACAGCAGAGTGAGTGAGTGAGTGAAATAAATGGTGTTCGCACCATATACCAATATTGGAATCGAACGAGCAAACGCTTTAACTGCCAGGCTACACCTTCCTCCATGGACCGTACAACCTTAAAGTGCGTATGGTTTCTTTTGCGGGTTCTGTTTGTGTGCAGTTTACATACAAACTAGACGGCTATTCAGTAATGAGAAGACATATCTATATTAACTCAGTTAGCTTGGGCTTGATAACTTGAAAAACTTCCTCATAACTCAGTTGAAATAGCACATTCTGGTTATGCCTTTAGGTCATTCTGCTTCTTTTACCAACTACAACTGTTAAAGTTAAACACTTGACTGACTGACTGACTGAGTTTAGTTTTACGCCGCTTTTAGCAATATTCCAGCAATATCACGGCGGGGGACACCAGAAATGGGCTTTACACATTGTGCCCATGTGTCGAATCGAACCCGGGTCTTCGGCGTGACGAGCCAACGCTTTAACCACTAGGCTACCCCACCACCCCTAAAGTTAGACAGAGCAGGGACACTTTAATATGGTTCGCCGCTGGCGTTTATTGCAGAACCGTGGAAGGAAAGCGTAGATTAGTCCGAGCTATTGGTATCGACCAGTGAACCGTTATGTATGTTCTTTTGTCTGCGCTGTCTACATATCCCCACAGGAACGCGTTATTTTTGTGAGTGAGTGAGTTTAGTTTTACGCCACTTTTAGCAATATTCCAGCAATATCACGGCGGGGTCACAAGAAATGGGCTTGACACATTGTACCCATATTGGGAATCAAACCCGGGTCTACGGCGTGACGAGCGAACGCTTTAACCACTAGTCTACCCCTCCGCCCCGTTATTTCTATAAACATTCACCATTTAGTGCACACTGTTAAAGTGACATATACGGATAGATATTACCATCAGCATATGCGTGTGTGTGCCAGTGTGTTACCTCGTGGCGGCGACCGCCTCCGTGGTGTAGTGGTTAGAGTGTCCGCCCGGAGAGCGGAAGGTCGCGGGTTCGATCCCCGACCGCGTCATATCAAAAGACGTTAAGATATGGTACTTGTTGGTCCCTGCCTGGCGTTCGGCATTAATGGGTACAGCAAGAACTGGTTGGCTCGGAGTCAGTATAATGTGTCTGAGTAGGGTATTCATGCTTCACTGCGGCATGGTATCTCAGTGGGCTAGCACTATAAAACCAGCTTCAGTCTGGGCTAGTACAAGCATCCGCACATACACATACCTACGCATGCACGTCGTCATATGAGCGAAATATTCTCAAGCACGACGTTAAACCCAATTTCACCTCACCTCACCTCGTGGCGGCAGCTAATACCTAAAGTCCTTTGGCATCAATCGGATGCAACGGATATGTTTTAATACATAAAAATACGATATGCATCATCCGTCATTGTTCAGGGCTGTCGGTGGATGAAAGTACAGGATCGTAAAACACAATATGGCCAGAATACACCATCCACTCACGCGTTTTTAAATCTAACAGTTATTGAGATGTTTTCTTCCAGTGAGGTGACCGAGGAGCGACTTCTGTGTGCATCCCAGTGGACGTCGGCCTGTGACAACCGAGACACCCTCCTCAGCTATGCTGCTGTCAACGGCATCTGTACCGACGACCACCCCTCCCAGTATGCTCAGCAGCGTAGGTTCAGGGATAATCATGCTAAAATGTTTTATCATCATCGTTGTCGTCGTTGTCACCACCACCACCATCATCATCATCTTCTTCTTTTTCATCATCAGACCGCCTCCGTGGTGTAGTGGTTAGAGCGTCCGCCCGGAGAGCGGAAGGTCGCGGGTTCGATCCCCGACCGCGTCACACCAAAAGACGTTAAAATATGGTACTTGTTGGTCCCTGTCTGGCGCTCGGCATTAATGGGTACAACAAGGACTGGTCGACTCGGAGTCAGTATAATGTGTCTGAGTAGGGTATTTCTGCTTCACTGCGGCATGGTATCTCAGTGGGCTAGCACTATAAAACCAGCTTCAGTCTGGGCTGGTACAAGCAGCCGCACATACACACGCATGCACGTCGTCATATGAGCGAAATATTCTCAAGCACGACGTTAAACCCCATTTCACCTCACCTCACCTTCTTCATCATCATCATGAACAACATCAACAACAACAACCACTCTCTCTTTCTCTCTCTTGGTGCTTGTCGTCGTTGAATTCGTCGCTGCCACCATCATCATCATCAACTTCTTCTTCTTCATCATCATCTTCTCTTGGTGCTTCGTAAAGTCTATATCCCTCTCTGCTAGTTCTGACGTCGATCCCTCCCCGTGTGAACGCTACCTGTATGTGGGGAAGAGTGGCTGCAGCCATTGGGGCCTGTGTCGAACTGATAGCGTGGAGAGCAGCCTTTGGCTACAACCGTTCCATGACGGAGGCTGACATTTTTCAGCATCACCAGACGTAGGTATTGTTTGAAACAATCCGATAGTAGATTGAAAAGAGATTTCGGTTTTCTTTGAGTAAGATTTCCAAAAGAATTCGCTCATAACACGAATAAGACCTTACACCTGAAAGACAAGTGAAGTGTCAAACTTGTGGCGTCGCCTGAGGCAAGTGCCATTCACAAAAGTAGCCTATGTTCAGCCAGCAGGAAATGGGTGCGTGTTATAGATTTTAAAGCCGTTTAGAAGTCTGGATTATAAACTTCCCAGAGAGGTTTTTTTAGAATGATTAGATAAATGCATACGAATCCGCTGGTCGTGAATGAACCCAAACAGACACCAGCGAGCATCTGGATAAGCGGTGTATGTAAGTGAACAGAATCATTAAAATATATTATCACAGAGGAGACCACCTTTTATATTTCGGGGGATTGATCCCGAGCCTTCATTGTGACAAGTGAATACCACTAGATCTACACTAACCCACCAGTTCCGATGCCGTTGCCAAGTTTACCACAACGTCTGAAAGTGAACCCGATGCAATGTTGTGCTGTCACAGATGAGGTTTCTGCATCCATACGTTTGGTTCGTGGAAACAATTCTGGGTCCAAATATCTAGCAAATAGTGTCGTCTGCTTCCAATACTAAGAGAATACGACGCACCCGTGACGTCGTTTTCTATCCCGTTCTGTTCAAACGCTGGTGGATCGGGACAAGACTATATAACCAGACACAAATTCGGCAGGAAGACAGCCGTCCCTTTCTACATTATGCTAGTTATTTTGTATACCACAATCATATGCAGGTTGGTTTCATGCCATGTAGTATGATAAAAGATCCAAGTTCCTTGCTGATCATTAAGATGTAATCCTTATACAAGTGTTTTCTTAATATACGAGACAAATATTCATAAAATTCTATGCAAGTCCTTGCTAGAAGTAAACGGTATTTTATCGAACAGTATATGATATTAAAGAAAACTACTGTCTGTATGAATGATTGAAATACGTTAAGAAAAGACAAACGTGCCGATCACAAGTTGTTCTTCAGTGCAGGTTCCTGACACATATTCGTTCTCCATTTCAGTCAGATGAACAATGGCCTGTTGTGTATGTACTCGAGCGGGGAGAGCATAATGGCCCGGTGTGTGGGAGGGGAGGAAGTAGAGGAAGTGGAGGGGTTGAAAGCTGCCTATTTGTTGGCTCTCCTCGCATATGCTCCCCCAGGATTCATCTATAACATCACCTACGTAACCGATGTCACTGACAGACATTAGACATCACCTACATAACCAGTCTCACTAACAGACATTACACATCACCTACATAACCAACGTCACTGACAGACATTACAAACCACCTACATAACCGACGTCACTGACAGACATTAGACATCACCTACATAACCGGCGTCACTGACAGACATTAGACATCACCTACATAACCGACGTCACTGACAGTCATTACACATCACCAACATAACCGACGTCACTGACAGACATTAGACATCACCTACATAACCAACGTCACTGACAGTCATTTCACATCACCAACATAACCAACGTCACTGACAGACATTAGACATCACCTACATAACCGACGTCACTGACAGACATTAGACGTCACCTACATAACCGACGTCACTGACAGACATTAGACATCACCTACATAACCAACGTCACTGACAGACATTAGACATCACCTACATAACCAACGTCACTGACAGACATTAGACATCACCTACATAACCAGTCTCACTAACAGACATTAGACATCACCTACATAACCAACGTCACTGACAGACATTAGACATCATCTACATAACCAACGTCACTGACAGACATTAGACATCACCTACATAACCAACGTCACTAACAGACATTAGACATCACCTACATAACCAACGTTCACTGACAGACATTAGACATCACCTACATAACCAACGTCACTGACAGACATTAGACATCACACATAACCAGTGACATCACCCTACATAACCAACGTCACTGACACATTAGACATCATTACATAACATCACCTACACAGACATTAGACATCAACCAACCAGTTTCACTAACAGAGACTAGACATCACCTACATAACCGACGTCACTATCAGACATTAGACATCACCTACATAACCGACGTCACTAACAGACATTAGACATCACCTACATAACCGACGTCACTATCAGACATTAGACATCACCTACATAACCAACGTCACTGACAGACATTAGACATCACCTACATAACCAATAACCGACGTCACTCATCACCTACATAACCAACGTCACTGACAGACATTAGACATCACCTACATAACCAACGTCACTGACAGACATTAGACATCACCTACATAACCAATCTCACTAACAGACATTAGACATCAGCTACATAACCAACGTCACTGACAGACATTAGACATCACTTACATAACCAATCTCACTAACAGACATTAGACATCACCTACATAACCAACGTCACTATCAGACATTAGACATCAGCTACATAACCAACGTCACTGACAGACATTACACATCACCTACATAACCAATCTCACTAACAGACATTAGACATCACCTACATAACCAACGTCAGTGACAGACATTAGACATCACCTACATAACCACCGCACTGACAGACATTAGACGTCACCTACATAACCAACGTCACTGAAAGTCGAAGGACTGATGTTCAAGGCGGTCGCCTTCGGTCGAGACCAGTGTCGCCATATTAACCGTCCTTTGGCGGCCGAGAGTACCTGTACACTGGCTGAATATGCTCATAATAAATAAATATGTTGAATGATACCAAACGCTTTTGTTTTGTTTCTGGATGTGTCAGGTGAACGTTTCCGGATGCCTGTGACATGGAGTACTGGACCTTGGAGCATCGCGTGAGTGAATCCATAGTTTAGTTTCAATAAATCAGGAAATACACTATTCACCAGACTTTCTGGTCACGTTATTGTCTGGTTTGTTTGCAAGTCTCCGTGACATATTAGGTCCACTGCTGTGCACAAGCAAACAGTACAAGCCTTTATGGAAAAATGGGTGAGTGGGTGTGTTACCTCTGGGGCAGGGCATGCTCACCCTCGTCAGGGACACCTGTTGTCATCACTGGTGGTAAATAACCCGGTGTGTTTGTTTTAACGCTAATGATTGTACCGAAGACGAAACCCATGTGTTACTGTCCTCTCTGCAATGATGTTCTACAGGTTTGACTACAGAGATGTGCTGAAATGTGGTCCGACTGTAACACTGCTGGTGACATCACCCCAAACAGCATGCAGATTGGTCAGTTTGACACCTTATATAATAAAACAATAAATTCGAGATTTCCTTAAACTGTGAGATATTTACCCGTCTTGTTCATCTCACATATGGAAAGAAAAATACACTTAAAAGCGGCGACTGTTTTGCTCCAAAACACAGAGCGACGATGAGAGGTATCAGAGTGGGGGTATCCTCCGACCCATTACGCAGACAGACAGTTCGCAGACGCCTTAAAACAACAACATTTACGGTTCAATTAACAAATTAGCTACTAACTGTTGTTGTTGTTTTTTTGTGTGTTTTTTTGTTTGTTTTTTCCCCATTACATATAGGTTTTTTTAGTTTTTTTTGATTGTTCCCAATGTGATGAGAACAAAAACATGATGAGTACAAGCATATAGAGGAATGTGTGCACATACAAGCTAGTGGGCTCAATAGCGATATAGTTCACTAAGTGCATTGAATATCAATGTTAGTGATATGTTCTTTGTTTAATAGTCATTCAGGGTTAAATTCAGGGATGAGAGGAAACCATTTGACTAAAAAGCTTTAAAAAGCTACTAACTGTTACCTATACATTATAATTGAATAATCCCAAGAAAAACACAAGAAAAATATTTCATGCCAAGTATATATTTATTGATGACAAGAATGACATAATATTTTTTTCAAATAACAATGTATAATGATAGCACAGTAGCTTCCAGTAGATATATCTTTTTCATAGAAATATTTTATCTATATATATAGATAGAGTGGGGTATGTTACAACATCGCTTGAAGCGTATCTTATATGTTTACATAACTATTAATTGATCTCACTCATACATACGACACTGCTTGTCCAAAGCTCACTGGGCATGATACAGCACTCGATGACCCGCTCGTCAAACAGCACACAAAATATGTAATTCTAACAGCTAATAAACGAAATACTAAAAAGAATCTACAAGCCTTAGGAAGGTAGAGTTCAAAAGTATTAAAACTGACAAAGTAAATACCAAGATTCAAATTCTACACAAAAACATCTACTCAAAAAAAACTCAAATACTACAAGTCTACATAAATCTGAAATATTGACAGGGAGATAACCAAATTACAAACATGCCACACAAAATTAAATTCCCATATACATAAAATTTGAAAAAACAACAACAACAAACAAACGGGCAAATGCACGCACTGCAACGAAGCATATACCATCGAACATGTCCCTCTACTCTGCATGCACTACCAACAACACGGAATAGTGCTCAAGAGTTCACTGAATACTAACAAACACCTATCACTACAGACCCGTGAAGGTCCTTGTTAGAATATTGGTCTTAAGTCACCCATGCTTGTCGTAAGAGGCGACTAACGGGATCGTGTGGTCAGGCTTGGTTGACACATGTCATCGGTTCCCAATTGCGCAGATCGATGCTAATGTTGTTGATCACTGGATTGTCTGGTCCAGACTCGATTATTTACATACCGCCGCCATATAGCTGGAATATTGCTGAGTGCGGCGTATAACTAAACTCACTCACTCACCTAACACTACAAATACTCCTACGCCCACTAAATAACACCCAAATCTTCAAAGCCTTGGGTATATTTCTAATAGAAACTTGTCTTCCAGGTCGCATAAAATCCCACATAACCACCTAGTACCAATATTTAAAATATACAAACCACATAACCTGAAAAAGAACAAAAAAGCATTTACCAACCAAACTGTCTCACGTATATTTCTAGTTTACGTCTAATATTTGCCTGAAGAGTGTGTATGTGTCTTAATGGTGATGTGATGTGATGTGATGTGAAATGGGATTAACGTCGTACTGTTTCCATAAAACCCCCTAAAAGGTAAGATCCACTAACAAGTGGGCCTATGTTGCATTTTTGCATTCATTGGCGTCAATGATTTCATACTGTTGTGTACACTTTTGAGGTTTACGATATAGGCAGTCTGTGATTGTTTTGAAATTTTGCATAATTTATGAAAGTATAAATTTAAGAACATGTGGGTACACTTTGCATAAAATTACTGTGCACAGTATTTATCTCAATATGTTTGCTGTTTATGGAGTAATTAATGTTGAAAAACAATATGCTCTGCAATTTAATAATGTTTACAACACATAAGTGTTTGAAGTCAAATTACTAAACTGACTAATTAAGTGAGCAGTTATTATGCTTATAAATATCTCAAGGAGGTGAGGTGAAATGGGGTTGAACGTCATACTTAAGAATATTTCGCTCATATGACGACGTACATGTGTGTGTATGGGTGGCTGCTTGTACTAGCTCAGACTTAAGTTGTTTTTATAGTGATAGCTCACTGAGATACCATGCCGAAGTTAAACATGAATACCCCACTCAGACACATTATACTGGCTCCGAGCCGACCAGTCCTTGTCGTACCCATTAATGCCGTGCGCCAGGCAAGGACCAACAAGTACCATATTTTAACGTCTTTTTGGTATGACGCGGTCGGGGATCGAACCCGCGACTTTCCGGTCTGAATGGTGAACGTGTATGGAGTATGTCTAATATTCACGTGAAGGATGACTAACGTATCTGTCTAGTTTACGTCTAATGTATCTGAAGGATATCTTATTTGCCTTAAGTGAGCGAGTGAGTGAGTTTAGTTTTACGCCGCTTTAAGTAATATTCCAGCAATATCACGGCGGGGACATCAAAAATGGGCTTCACACACTGTACCCATATGGGGAATCGAACCCGGGTCTTCGGCGTGATGCTTCAACCATTAGGCTACCCAACCGCCCCTATTTGCTTTGAGGATTTGCAAAGTATGTCTATTGTCTATAATTACAGTAAAATGTGTGTCTTTTCCGTTTTGACAAGTCTGTTTTTTTCTGGAACCGCTAAAGTATGTTTCTTCCGCCGTCATGGCAAACGTTCCCTCAGGTCGTTATAAGTCCCTATTTGCCTGAAGCATTTCCAAATTATGTCTAGTGTTGTTTGATAATTGCAGTAAAATATGTGTCTTCTCCGTTTTGACAAAT